CTTAAGCTTTTTGAGATGCAGCATAGTATAAAATGCCATATGAGAATCTGAATTGCACTTACACTGTCTAAATGCAAAAGTCGTATTAATATCAAAAAAGGCTACATTTATATACAGTGTTTGACAAAAGATATCATATCCTTTTTAAGTAGATTTTTTCTTCTTTAAAATAAAATGCTACTATTTTTCATTCATAATCAAATGCATTTTAATCTGCAGTTTGGATTATTTGTTTATAACAAAAGCATTCTTACTGTATGACGATGATCCAACTGCTTCTATAGGGAAGTCTTTATTTGTCTAAATATGGATGACACAGGGGTGACGCAGTGGCGCAGTAGGTAGTGCTGTCGCCTCACAGCAAGAAGGTCGCTGGTTTGAGCATTGGCTCAGTTGCGTTTCTGTGTGGAGTTTGCATGTTCTCCCTGCCTTCGCGTGGGTTTCCTCCGAGTGCTCCGGTTTCCCCCACAGTCCAAAGACATGCGGTACAGGTGAATTGGGTAGGCTAAATTGTCCGTAGTGTATGAGTGTGTGTGTGGATGTTTCCCAGATATGGGTTGTGGCTGGAAGGGCATAAGCTGCGTGAAAACTTGCTGGATAAGTTGGCGGTTCATTTCGCTGTGGCGACCCCGGATTAATAAAGGGACTAAGCCGACAAGAAAATGAATAAATGGATGACACAGCCTTTTGTAAGTTTTCAGTTTTAATCATCCACAGATTGAAAAGAGAATGTAACAATAATACATTAGGTAAGTTCAGTTTTTTAGGATGCTTCTGCCACTTTTAAACCAAAAATATTTAGATCAGTGAATAAATGATTTTTGACATTTACTGCCACTATATGCTTTTTTTTTTAGATGTTTACTGAAATAAAAGAACTGTTAAAATCTTTTTAAGGATCTAAAAATATCTGCATAAATTTTAATATTTCTAAAAAATAAAAATAATATACACAAAAAAAGAGACCACTTCTGTTTCTGTTTCACAAGAAATTCTGTTTCTCTGGATGTAAAATGTATGGTTATGTTTTTGAGTTTCCCAAAAGAGGAGCAAATCACGTAGAGCAATTCACATGCTTTTTCTATCAGTGCTTAATAGATTGTTATGCCTTTTTATAACCGGCGTAACAAAATTGACCAGAACATATATTAAAATTAAAGCTGAATGTAAGATTCAGGAGGCTGAGACAGTCAACAATACAAACCTACAAACCTTAATAATTTTATTTTATTTTTGATAATAGTCTTTAAAGTTTATCTTTTTGAAAAATAATTGCAGACAACTCTAGAATTACTCATATATAAGCATAAATATAGTTATAAAAATATATACATATGTGATTAGCCTCCAGCAATCCATTGCAAGGGGATCTATTTGAGCCTGAGGACAGTTTGAATCACAGATGGCTGCCTGTGACATCACAAAACAGCACAGGCACCTGAATGTTAATTAGGTGGAGCATAAATAATTGAACATGATTTTTCAATGTTTTGACAAAACAGAACAGGTCTGTGGTGGAATTTTCTGTCTGCCACTAATGTACAAAACAATATACTATCCTAAAAAAATTTCAGGTTCAGAAATTTTTTTATTAAATAATATGAATCTATTAATTATAAATATGCTATTAAAATTTCTTAAAATACTGACCCATACTTGACGTAAAAATCTGTAACGGGTGGTTTGGAAAATCTCCTTTCCTCGAGTGATTTGGCATGAAAGCCAAACAAATTCATGTAAATGGCATTTCAATTGCAAAACAGTGTTTTCAAATGTCTACATTTACTCAAGTCATTTACTATGGCGTTAAATCTTGTGTTTAGTGCATGTCATAAACTAAAGCTCCATTCGAAAACTTAATTGTGAATCTGATTATCCATATGACTGCCATAAACAAATTAACAAGAAAGTCAGTAGATCTTAACTTATGTAAATAGTTAATTAATCCCCATGTTCGCTCATCCAAGCTTGAGAATTGAACTTTAAAAGCAGGTGTGCAGTGAATATATAATTTTCACTATAGGTGCTCAAGGAAGCATACCAGACTGCAGGGTCTGCTGGGGTGTGATTACTGGATGCCTGCTTGAAAAAAACAACAAAAAAACAAGCTGCTCTTCAACATGAACTGTGTGCTGAAGAATTGATTTTCAATAAACACCTTCTGCATCGAAGTGCGAAATTTATACCTAAAAAAGGATTGTTTTGGGGTTTATTTATGTTCACATTTCACTGATGATTGTGACAGGCTAAAACACAGATGCCAAATTCATGAAGCATCATCTTTTAAATTTGAATAAAGCATCACACGAAAACTTATTTGATGACTAATAAGTGATCAAAATAAAACTATTAGACTGTGCTCTCTCCTCTTGTGCCTGAAGCAAAACAACTGTCCATTAGCCAGTGTTTTACCAACACGTGAAATCTTCATTTACAGATTAATGCACAAAGGCGTTATTTCATTGAGTGAAGTTACCATGGCTGCACCTGTCGCAAGCCACGTTCAAGGACTAAACATAGAAATCATTTAACCAATGAATCTGATGGAAACATGCATGCTCAGGCTGATCAAAAAGCATGAAAAAAAAAAAATATATATATATAAAAACAAGCCTTCATATCTCGCTCTCTTTTCCTTCTATTCACTTTGTTCAATCTATTTGCACAGCATTTGAAAGGCCGAGCTCTTTTGTGGTCCTTTTAAATAGGATCTCTGTTCGCTTGCTCGTGCTGAAAAGCTAAGTCACAGGCTTTTATATCTCAAAATGTAGACATGTAGACAAATGAAATCTGATACGAGTCAAAAAAAGAACAAATTTGTTAAAGTTTTTAAATATTTCCAAAGAAACAGGTTAAGGTGATAATAGTATGGCATTTGTAAAATAGCTTTTATTTCAATAACATTTTTTTATCTGCTGTACATGTCAGTTTACTTTTAGTTAATTTCATTAAGGGTTTTTAATAGTTTACATTTTGTAAACACATTTATATTTAGTTTTTTCTAAACTTATTTTAAGTTTTTGTTTTAGTAAATCTTCAGATTCACAGAAGATGTCAATCAAAGCAATACTTTTTAAAGCTTTCCTTAACTCCTGTGTAAGTCTCTAAATTATTAAAAATAATAATAATAATTGTTTAACAAACACTGAATCCAAAACTATACAAACACAATCAATAAAAGTAAATATTTTTAAGAATTTTGACTATTTTCTTTATATCAAAGAGCCACTATTTTGGGTTTTATAAAATGAGCTCCCATGCAGTGTGTAACACAGCACTAAGTGATTGAAAGCATCCAGCGGAGGTTTAAATCTGAAAGTGCACCGTGATTAAAACTATTGATTCTTTAACAAAATAGTCGACTCAGAGTTGAATGAAAGAATCCTGCTGGGTCGAGATCTTTTGCCTGAACGCATCAACTTGGACATGGTACATCACCTAATATGTAGTACTGGTTCTGGTAAAATGTGAATGCACCTTTCACTTGAGACATTAGCGGAGCACGGGGGATCACGGGACTGATCATAACACAAAGATGACGATCACTGACAGATGGAGATTCGGCTGCAGAGAATATACAATTAAAGTGCATTTTCACAACAACACCACATAGCCAGCATAGTGCTGTGTTTGTTTCTGTTATTTCTCTGATTTTTGATACAATAACCTACACTCACCGGCCGTTTGCTATTAAAGGAAAAAGCAGCAGAGACTATTATGTTTGGGACTGTGACAGGGACTTTACCAGTAACTGTTACAGTTCATATGGACCAGTTTCTTTTTCCTCCGGATCATAACATGTAAGTGCAATTTAAATTATTACCTCGTTTTATGTAGTTTGGAAAATATGTGTTTAACTGTGAGATGTAACTCGTAATGGCTCAGTGCGGCTTGTAATCACATACATATTATGGATCAGTGTTTGTACTGTATCTCTCAGATATTGCGTCCAAAACCACGCTGAAAAATGTGACAAATGCTTCGTCCTTTACCAATTTAAATGCATTGCTGCATTGGGCTCTCACATGTTCTCTGCTACTTCATAGCCATGTTGGGAATTTCTCTCTGTCTTGCGCTAAACCCAGTTGACCAATCACAACAGACTGGGTCATCCGACTAACAGATTAGCCTCACGCAAAGGAGACATTTGGGAACAAATGAATCCCTGAACAAATCATATGAGAATTGCTGGAATAATTGGATAAAAATAAAAGCATTTTAAAAGACAATGAAAAAGTTTTTTTTGACCTTGCATGCATATCAGCCTGTTGTTAGAGACCCCCAAATCCAAAATATGACCTTTTATAATGCAAAATGGGGGCTCTTTAAAGATGTAAACATGCCTAGTTTACATTTAATTTAGCAAATGAAAAAAAGTAAGGGTTATGCTTATTAATTCTGAAAATGATTATTCATTTCTATAAATATTTTACAGTATCTGTTGATAGTTTTTCAGTTTTTATTTATTTATTGTTCATTTTTATATTTACTTGAGTTAAAACATTTTGGACATTTTACTTTTTTTGTTGTTGTTGTTGTTGTTGAATAAAACAACCTTGCATGTTTAATATTTTGTTCGTTACTTGTAGTGAGATTTAAGATTAAAATATCCTCTACTGAAAGGAAAGATGACTGCTAAAAGACTTGATGTAAATGTATTCCAGCACAGCACGCTGAAAACAAGCTAGAAGGATTTAAAAGAGAAGAGATTTGTCCTTGAAAAGCAGAACTACCATTTACCCTTCAATATTTGTCCATGTTTTATTATTAATTCATGTTCAGGCATCTGTCCATGTCAAGGCTGTGTAGAAAAAAAGCCCATTCATATCAATGAAACAAAAGAAGAAACGGAGCGCAAAGCGGTGATGATACTAAAGGGTGTTTTCATTCTTATGTAATAGAAGTGCTTCAATTGGGATGGAAAGCTGTGAGTTTTGACCACACCTAGTTTGACTGACGGCTGGTTGATTTTTAGTCCTGGGGTGGAGGTTGGGACTGTTACAACTCTCAGCCATTTGGCACAGAGTTATTAACAGTGGATACCTCAATGACAAGGTAAACTACTTCGACTACATTGTTTGTTGTTATTCGTTATAACATGTTTAAATGTCATTCACTGCTTTTAATTTAAACACCTTACTATATCTAATTCATTCAGATTTTGTGTTTGCATAATCAGCGATTGGTATTATAAGTGGTATAATAAGTGTATAAGGTATTAATTATAATGTATTTTGTTTCTAAAGTTGTGCCAATACTGTAAAACCCAATACTGTAACCTATTATTTTGACATTTCCTTTAGACATTCCACTGATGAGTATAAGTAGCCTTATCTGTTAACATTTTGTTTTTATGATCTAGTGATAGACAATCTTTTGACCATACTAGCTCAAACTTTAAGTTAACAATCTACTACTATACTATTATATAATTTACATGCAGGTACTTTGTTGTCCATGAAATGTCTAAAGGTGACTGGTAAATGGTTGAAATTGTTTTTGTTCATTGAAATATAGCTGGAATAAAAATAAGTGTAAAATATTTTTGATGAGTACAGGTATGTGTTATGAAACTGGAGATTTCATCTAGCACAACTGCTCCCTGTTAAATACATTCTTATTGAAAAACTAATTTCCTTGACTCTTATGTATATTAACAAAAGTTCCATAAACTGTATATACTACCGGTCAAAAGTTTACAATAAGATGTTTTGTTTTTTAAATTTTTTATTTTTAAGAAAATGACTCTGTTCATCATTTATTAAACATAAAGAATGTTAAGTTGTTAAATATTTATTTATTAAATATTGGCTTATTACTTATTGTTTGTAGTTCCAAATAAAATTATTACTACATTCATTATTGCTTTTTTTACTATAATCATAATTAATAACAACAATAATAATAATAATAATAATAATAATAATAATAATAATAATAATAATAATAATAATAATAGAGTGATTTTTGAAGGATCATGTGACTCTGAAGACTGGAGTAATAAAGCTAAAAAATCATCTTTAAAATCACTGGAATTAATTATTAAATTCTAAACTACTTTTAAACAGTTATTTATTTGTGCAATAACATTTTGCATTTTTACAACTTGAACTGTATTTTTGATTAAATAAAAGCAGCCTTGGTGAGCAGGAGCTTTTTTCAAAACATTTCAAAATCCTACTGACCCCAAACTTATGACCGGTAGTGTATATATGAAGGGTTCAGATTTAAAAAAAAACTCTAAATGCCGTTTGAAATGTTATTTTTTTTTTATTTTTTTTTTTTATCTGGCTTCTGTGTGTAGGTTCAGTATTACTTTTATGGCAAATAATAAGTCCTTTTTGTGGTCTTTAAAGTGAAATATCTTAACATAAACAAAGGAATTTGAGAAAAAAAAAAACTTTAATTTTTGATGGAATTTCAGACACCCTTACCGGTTTTTGCATCTAAATAATAATTTAAATAACTCATTTCTAATTACTGATTTATTCTATCTTTTCCATGATGACAGTAAATAATATTTGACTAGATATTTTTTCAAGACACCTCTATTCAGCTTAAAGTGGATTTAAACTAACTCAGTATAATAAAATTAAAATTAAAAGTATTAATAATTATATCAAAACATTATTAAGCTAAAGTATAATGCATTCATTTTATAGTGTATGCATATAATGCATTCATTAAAAACAAACTGATTTTCACAGCTGCACAGACAGCAAGAGTGGGTTAAACAAAAACTAATAATCAAAAAGAATGAATACACTAGTATAATATAAACCAGAAAATCCACTGTAGGCGTTTGAGCTTGCATGTTGATGTGTGTGCAGGTCTCCAGAAAGCATTATGGATTTCACACAAGCTGACAGGCGGCATTTAGACAAGAGCAAACAGGACACCAGCTCTTTAGAAAACACAGATGATGGCCTGAAATATGATAGTGGGCGCGTAACTCACGACTTCAGCTGCATCCACAGCAAAGGTACAGCAAATACACTGAATGAAAAGGTGCTGAAAAGTCTGAGCTTCCCCCATGCACTATTACAATGACACTTGGAATGATTTCTGAAAAGAAAAGCTGCCTTGTCGGATGTTTTTCTGTTTTTTTCAGTTTGATACGAAAAGTGAAGAATGTCTTGACTGAAACATATTGTCAATAGCGGTTTGTTCCGTGTGGTTTGACATTCAATAATCTATTCAAATATTGTTCCAATGGAATGAATTGGCTTTCACTTTAATCTGCTTAGAATGAAAGCATTTGCCTTGTGAAAAAGAAAATACTGATTTAATTTAAAATTAACGTTCATGAAATGAAGGTTTTTATAATTCTACAATACTTCCACAAAGTAAATATTATAGTTCAGTTGGGTCACATTCAAATGCACAATGCAAATGACACCACAGAACTGTGTTGCAGCAGCTCTGCATACAAGCTGCTGTAGGGATTAGTGACGCAGATTTACTGGTAGATACACTGTAAAGAATGAAGGGTTCCACATAATTCATTCATGTAGTCCTGACACAAACCCATTAAGGTAGGGCAACATATTTAAGTGGATTAAACACAAAACAATTAAGTTAAACTAAATTTAAAAATCTCCAGAATTGTGTTGTTTAGCTCATTTTAAACAAGCAGCATTTTTTTTTTTAATTTGTTTATAAAATGATTTAAACTATAACTTCCACACACGGACTGACAGCCTGATGTTAATGTACTGCAGCGGGACTAAATGTTATTAGCATCTCAAGTAATTTGTTTGAATGACAGGCAATTTGTTTTGCTCAGATCTGCTCCCTGCTGAAGACGGGGAGGAAGCAACCAAGCACTTCCTGCAGGAGCTTGTAAACATATTGCTGGCCTACATCAGTAAATCCCTGAAACGCAGCACAAAAGTTTTGGATTTCCACTATCCTCACCAGCTCAATGAAGGTCTGGAGGGCTTCAGCCTGGAGCTTCCTGACCAGCCGGATAATCTGGAACAGCTGCTGGTGGACTGCAGGGACACACTGAAATACGGCGTCAAAACAGGTAAGAAGACACCAATTAGCACAGGTCATGGTTGTGTTATGTGAAAGATTTTCTCGTAAAGATTAAGTGATAAATGAAAATGTACTCAGTATTTGATCACCCTCAAGTTGTTTAACAAGTTTCATTATTCTGTTGAACAAAACAAAATATTTCAAAATAGCTTCTTTTGTCTTGAACAGAATAAAAAAAAAACACTTAGAAAGATTTAGAACCACTTGAGGGCAATAAATAATGAGTCAATTGTCATTTCGAGGTGAGCTACGCCCTTTAATGTTGTGATTTATGGTTGCCAGGTCATCCAAGATTTTTTAACCAACTGTCAACTGGACTTGACATCGTTGGTCTGGCAGGAGAATGGTTGACATCCACTGCAAATACAAACATGTGAGAGATGAGTTTCATTTACTTGCATTCCTATTTTGAAACTGATGGATGAAAATAACAAGGAAAACATGGGGCTGTTGTATTATGTTTTTGATCTGAGAAAGATTATGTGACACTGAAGACTACACTAATAGTGCATTTACACCATTTTGCAATTACTGCAATTTGGAGATTACAACACGTGATGTTATTCTAAGAGCTGTTGTTGTCCTTGAACTATGCATTATATATTTCTATAGCTCTATTTACTCCTATACACATTACCTATTATGTGGTTGTCAAGAGCTATGGGTTGGAGCTGTATATACTGTAATACAGCAACTGTATTTAAATTGTAATTATAAGTTTTATTAAGCCAAGAACATATTTTAAGTGTAAATCTCATAGTTTTGGTGTTATTTAATTTTTTTTTAAATAATCATAATTTATAATTATATATGACAATATTTCAGTTTTTACCACATTTTTGTGTCAAAATGTTCTTTAAAGTCCATCTGAACCAAAAGTTGCAGAGAGTTCTCTTTCAGTAAGTTGGTGTACTTCCAACTGACATGGAATTTCAAGAGTTCACAATCAGCTAATGATTGGCATGCTGTCCTGGGTGAGAGCCCTGAGCTTGTAAGATCTTCGAGCTCTGGTCTCCCTCCCGTTTGCAGGTCTAGAGGGGATTTGAGCTCAGGTAGATCCCGAGAACTTCTCTGCTGTTTATGGCTTAAGACAATTGCATAGAAAGATATACAGCTGACTAAGAGCGCATCTGTTGTGCCAATTTGGTTAAGTTAATTCACTTATGTCGCATGTGTTTGGATGGTGGGAGGATACCGGGGAACCGGTTCGCAAGCACAGAGAGAACATGTAAACTCCACAACGAAATGTTGACTGGCCTGGTAAGGACTTGAACCAGATACATTCTTGCTGTGAGGCAATAGTGCTAAGACTGGGCCACCATGCCGCCCTATCTAGAAAAAGAGGGAAGTGGAAGGGGGCATTCTTTGAAGAAAGTATAACTGAGGTATGAAACTCTGGTTATTTATAGGGACCGACTGATTGGTGAATCATGTGCTAATGCTAATGCGGGTTAATCATAAACATGTGATCCTCTCAAAATATTATATAAATTATAAACCCTTACATTGTGTAGGGGGCGGGGCTTTATTTTGCATCATTCCTTTGCAAAATATTTGTAAGAGCGGCGTGGTAAGGATTTTGTGGCTTAAGCAGTCAAACTGACATCAGTAAAAGAGCTCCACTCCAACACAAAAACAGAAAAAAAAATTAGATAAATCAATGAAAAGCATTAACTGTTCACCTTAAGAATAACAATATGCACTAGCAAAATAGACATTGTAAATTTTGATTTCACAGGGACTTTAAAATCCTTTTAAAGATCTGTCTCCTCGCTAGACGTCACTCAACATCATGGCACACATATAAAAGGAGGGTTTTTCTAGTGCATCAGCAAGTGCATTTGGTTTGAGCAAGAAATGTTTTCTAAAAATTCATCCAGTTACATATTTTCAGTGAACCTGGATTTAGTTTTTCCCATTTCAGGTGCAACTAAGCTCTGTTTACATTCCCAGAACATTTTTGAGGTCACGTGATCACATTTATTTTTAATGAAGAAGAGCCGGTTATTTCTTGCAACAGAATAAAGGAATGATGCATATCACATGACTCAAGTTAATAAACTTTATGCAACTAAACTCCTAGTTGTTATTTTATTGACAATTACACAGGCTGTGCACACACTGAGGAAGGCATTGTGCCTAAACGTTTCTGTCTTTAAATCACCCGAAAAATGTAATAAGAAAAAGTAAAATCAGTACGAAGCAATTACTTGATGATTGCGAATCATTACTTTTTTGAATAATAACATTGACAAGATAGTCACACCAAAGAAGTTTCTTAAAAATGGCAAGAGCGCAGGGCAAACTTCAGCAATTAAACAGGCTAACAACTAGGCAGTATTTTCACTAACTTTATCAATTCTTTCACTCTTTTTTTGTTTTTATTTACATTTTTACTGAATTGTACCTTAAATATGTCCAATGGTGTGACCTATGAATTAAATAATGATTGATATTTGTTTACCCCTATGACTTGTTGTACATTTTCAAATAAAAAAGGTGTGTCACACCAAAGGACACCAAAACTTTTATAGTTATTCTATACACTCCCTCTTCACTTTGCGTGACCATATAGGCACCCCTACTGCCCACCCCCGGTCTTCCCTTCGCACGGTCATAAGCATACCCTCCATGAAAGACGAAAAAAGATTTTAATCATTTACTGCAATTAATTTTTTTTTTTCATGCAACATCATGTTAACAAACCATAAATCATTTGTGATAGTAATAACTTCCAGTCTACTAACAACATTAAAGTAACATCAATACAAAGGCACATACATTGAGTTTTTGGCACTGAGTGACAGAAGATTCCATTTTTCCAGAACAGGATTTTTTTCAAAGTAAACCCCAGATAAACAACACACAAACTATGCCAATGATAACCTCAGATACTGATTACATGTGATTTATCAAAAGCTAAAAGTGTCTAATGAATCTGAATGTCATATTGTGTGACCATACAACCACGCTGAAGATGATGATGGACCATTTTCTGCAAATCTAGAAAATTGATCAAACATTAGCTGTGAACTCTATGCAAACAAACCAGTGTATTACAAGATAAAGATTGCAGTAAAGTCACTGCTACAGATTTATAATAGTATTAAAATAGATTCATATGTATGTATGTGCGACATAGTGGCTCAGTGGAAAGCACTGTCACCTCACAGCATGAAGGCTGCTGGTTTGAGCCCTGGCTGGGCCAGTTGGCATTTCTGTGTGGAGTTTGCATATTCACCCCGTGGGTTTTCTCCGTGTGCTCCGGTTTCCCCCAAAATCCAACAACATGCAGTACAGGTGAATTAAATAAACTAAATTGTCCGCAGTGTATGAGTGTGTATGAGTGTTCACAGTATTGGGTTGCAGCTGAAATGGCATCCGCTGTGTAAAAGATATGCTGGGTAAGTTAGCGGTTCATTACGCTGTGGTGACCCCTGATGTAAAAAGGGACTGAGCCAAAGGAAAATGAATTTATAATATGTATGCTATATTTTAGACTGATTCATTGAGAATGCAGAAAGAGTGAAAGAGATCAGTTCATATACTCTTCTGATTGGCTGTGAATTGTAAATGATTTGATTTTGTTCCATTGCCATTCCCTTTCTTGCATGTTGATGGAGTTTTATTACATTATATTATATATTTTCAGCAGACATTTTAAATATCAAAGCTTGTGATGAATATATATATATATATATATATATATATATATATATATATATATATATATATATATACAGTTGAAGTCAGAATTATTAGCCCCCTTTTCATTTTTATTTTATTTTTTAAATATTTCCCAAATGATGTTTAACAGAGCATTGACATTTTCACATTATGTCGGATAATATTTTTTCTTCTAAAGAAAGTCTTATTTGTTTTATTTCGGCAAGAATAAAAGCAGTTATTAATTTTTTTAAAAACATTTTTGGGACATATTTATTAGCCCCTTTAAGCTAATTTTCTTTTCGATAGTCTACAGAACAAACCATCATCATACAATAACTTGCCTAATTACCCTAACCTGCCTAGTTCACCTTATTAACCTAGTTAAGCCTTTTAATGTCACTTTAAGCTGCATAGAAGTGTCTTGAAAAATATCAAGCAAAATATTATTTACTGTCATCATGACAAAGATAAAATAAATTAGTTATTAGAAATAAGTTTTTAAAACTATTATGTTTAGAAATGTGCTGAAACAATCTTCCCTCTATTAAACAGAAATTGGGGAAAAAAATAAACAAGGGCGCTAATAATACAGGGGGGCTAATAATTCTGACTTCAACTGTATATATATATATATATATATATATATATATATATATATATATATATATATATATATATATATATATATATATATATATATAGGTATATATGGTATATATTTCTTTAAAATAATCATAAGTTCAGGAATAGTCACAAATATATATTTTTTTCCATTCTGTTACACGAAAACAAGAAAATATAGAGGACTTGCTATCCTTGGCTTGTTGATCAGGTGAAGGTAGATGTGTTTACAGAAAATAAGCAAGGAGCAATGATTGAAATGTAATGCATTACATTTTAATTAAAAAGCTACAAGGTTAAAAAGTAGAATGTGCCCTTGAATAACTTGTTTGCAATAAGATAAGATGCGCCTATAGGAAATAAACTACTTTCCATTCCCATTCTGTCTTAAAAGCAAGAAAAGTGTTTTAGATTCCACTCTCCCCTGTTATTTATTGATTTATTATTTATTGCATTCTCTCTTTTTTTCCATTTACAGGTTTACTTATGAAATATCCCCAGTCTTCATCCTAATGGAGGAGGTAGTTCTCAGAAAAATGCACACAATTATTGGATGGCCAGAGGAAGATGGAGATGGCATCTTTTGTCCTGGTAACAAGCTGAAAGCTCAAAAATACAGGAAGCATTATTATTTGTGTTTTGAAAAATGAACATTGGAACATTTCCATCATTAGTTTTTTCATTAACAAACTAATGGCTTCCTCCGCAGGAGGCTCCATGTCCAATCTCTACAGTGTGTTGTTGGCTAGGTTTCATCTCTTTCCGGCAGTGAAGACCCACGGGATGTGTGCGATCCCTCGCCTAGCGATGTTCACCTCCGCGCACGTACATGATCTCATTACTGTTTCCTCCACTCTCAGCAGGCGTGCTGTGACAGTCCAACTTACTCAATGAGACACATAGCACAACACATTTCAGCCATTACTTCCTGACCCGTTGATTTGGAGGTCAGACGTTACGTGTCACAGCACCGTTTTTTTAAAAGTCCTGATAAACTGCTGTTAATTCAAATATTTTATGTCTTGTTACGGTAAAACAAAAGGTCAGCTGGTTTCCTGTGCATGTTTAACATTTGCTTTCATTATTAGAGTCATTATTCAATCAAGAAGTCTGCGGCTGTTCTCGGCATCGGCACTGAAAATGTGATAGTCGTCAGATGTGACGAAAGGTAAGGCTGATGGACGGAATAATAATATCATAATCTGCAGTGTATCCAGCTGACCAAGATTAACTAAACTCTCTGGTGTCCCTCTGTGAGGGGGAAGATGATCTCATCAGAACTCAACTCCAGCATTGAGGAAGCAAAGTCGAAGGTTGGTCAAATGAGCTGGTTGTGACCTAAATTTGAATTATTCTGTAGTTCTGATTAGCTCCGTTTATGGATAACACCTCCAATATAACATGCAGACTTTCATATTTTAGCACTTTACACTTAAAAAAAATGTCTGCTGTTTGTTTATACTCATTCATTCATTTTCTTTTTAGCTTAGTCACTTTATTAATCTAGGGTCACCACAGCGGAATGAACCATAAACTTATCCAGCATATGTTTTATGCAGTGGATGCCCTTCCAGCTACATTCCATCTCTGGGAAACACATACAGTATACACAATCATTCACACTCATACACTACGGCCTACCCAATTCACCTGTACCGCATGTCTTTGGACTATGGGGGAAAATGGAGCTGTTTGTTCAAATTACTTAAAAACTAAAATTTTATTTTTAAAATTTCTATATAAAATAAGCTGAAACTAGGCTGCACAATACTATTTCATCATCGATATTGTAATGCTATTATTCGCAATAGTCACATTGCAAGGTATATGGAATGTTGGATTAGAATTTATTACTTTGCATGTTTTTTTTTTGTTTTGTTTTTTTTTTAAGCATTCAGGCATAAGAATCTTAAATAAATAACATTTTTTACAAATCTTAAACCGGAGATGTTTATTATATTTTATGGACTCTCCTACAGAATCATCCCAATCAATCTAAAATAATAAATTATTTTCAAATAGTTGTTCAACTCATCTAGTGAAATTGTATTCATATCGCAATATACTGCAGATCTCAGAATAAAAAAAAATGCAATGTTATGTTTTTTTCAACATCCAATACCTACATTGCAATATTTAGATTGTTTATGATACATATTGCGATATGAATATAATTTCACAAGATGACATATAATTCTATTTTTAACAAATTCATTATTTTACATTGATTGGGATCATTTTGTAGAGGAGAATCTGCATAAAATACAATACAACTGAATATGTTTCTGTGGAATCTAACAGTGTTGAGGCACAGATATTCAATAATAATATATAAAAAAATACTGTATAGTCTTCATTATTTAATTAATTTATTTTGGTTTATATACTTTTAAAACCTCTTTATTTAAGTTTGGTTAATTCTTACACAGTCACTGGTCTTACAAACACATCCAATTGAAAATCTTCCATTTACAAGAAGCAGGTATGGCAATCTGTCTTAGGAGAGAACCTTGAGCTCTGAGATAGATGAGCCCAAGGCTCCTGCCTGGTCAATGAGCATTGATACGAGATCAGATAGCTCTTGAGAGCTCGCCCGTTTGGCCTATTCCTTGATTAATAAAGACAGCTCCATAGGAATAGACCGCCAACTACACCAGTGCATATTCACTTAGAGAAGCTCAATATTGAAGTGCTTGTGACAGTTACTATTATTTAACTCACTTGTGTCTTATGTCTTTAGACTGTGGGAAAAAACCAGGGGGAAACCCATACAAACACGGAGGAAACATGTAAACTCTGCACAGAAATGGCGACTGGCCAGCTAGGAATTGAATCAGCAACCTTTGTGCTGTGAGGCAGCAGTGCTAGCCACTGAGCAGCCATGTCACTCGATCCTAGAATTGAGGAGGAGGGAGAAGGAAGGGGTGGATGGGGGTGGGGGTGGTTCTTCCAAAACAAAGATAGGGAGTAAAGTTTGGCAGGATTTGATTTGATTTATGTTCAATTTGGAATAATCCGATTGGCTAGCTAATGATTACCGATAGGGACCAGCTGCGGTCAATCATACTATGTGATCCTATGATGTGACAACTGCAGATTCACACATTGCAATATTGATGCTGATACAATATACTGTGCAGCCCTGGCTGAAACAACACAATTCATGAGTTTTTTAGGGGACAACTTAAATCTTTTACGTTTAATCCACTTAAATTTGTAAAAATTAATAAGCTAACTTAATTCTTTCAAAAATCAACTGTGTGAACTCAATCATTTTGAATACAGTGTATATCATTTTGCTAATAATTTGTTGTTGTCAAGAAGTGGATATATTAAAAGAAAAAACAAAACAACAACAACATGGGCCTATGCAGGTAAGGTTTGTTTTTAGGCCAGTGTTTTGCTGGTTCTTGCTGGTTCTGACCAGCCCATGATGACTAGAGAAGAACCAGAAAACCAGCATGTGCTGTTTTTTCAACAGCTCACCTAAAAATAAACAAAAATTGCAGTTATTCACTTCTCTACAGGCCATCAAAGATGTAGGTGACTTTTTTTTTCTTCAATAGAACATTCAAATAAATACATCTGTGGTGAAGTCCAACTTCTTTCAACACACCTGCACTCCTGTTCTACACAATACCAAAAAACTTGAAATAACAACACTTTTGTTGGATTAATCTGCAGGTGTACTCATGATGTTTCCATTTATAGGGCCTCGTCCCATTCTATGTCAACGCAACCGCCGGAACTACAGTCTATGGAGCCTTTGACCCTTTGCATAAAATAGCAGATATTTGTGAGCACCATGGCCTCTGGATGCACGTAGATGTACTACAATTTTTATATTAATAACTACAGTTTAAATAGTAATTGAACTACAATTTTATATATTTTTTTTTTATTTAAATGTAGTAAAAATGAAGATGTGTTTTAATCCTCTCACCTTCTTAAGGCTGCTTGGGGTGGAGGCTTGCTTCTATCCAACAAACACCGCGTGAAACTGCACGGAATTGAAAGGTAACTATTCAATCATTTTGATGCCATAATTTGTTTCTGTTGCTCAGTGGTGCAAACAATGCCAAGAACATGAGTTTAAATCACTGCGAATTCATGCGGAGATACAAATGTATACCTTTAGTTCAGCACAAATTGATTTCGATAAAAGCCTCTGTTAAATGCACAGATGTTCACTGGGAAATGGAAAAGAAATTTAAATATTATTATATATCAGTGTATCTTATTTGGTGATGTGGAAGTAAGCTAATGTGTGAAGACTTGTGATGTATTTTTCGCTATTTGCCTAGGAATGACAGTAACAGTAAAATCCCTTGAGCTACAATGCTCATTATAATGACAATACATTATAATGAAATTTTTTTAATAACAACAAGCAGCATCCAAATGTTTCGACACTTAGCACACATTGGTTCTTCGACACTTAGACAGTAACAAATGAGTGCTAGAGTTTCCCAATTATTGAAACAAGTCAGGACTTTAAAAACTTCACTCAAATTCAAACTAGTGACTGGGCTTTGTTATATCATTACTGTTTGAAACATTTGGAGAATTCATTGGTTGTCTACTGACGTCAACCGGATTTCACTAGGACATACTCCTGGACTAGCATCTATGTTGTTCCTAGAACAACATTCCAATCAGCCAGTCAGAATTAAGGGATATATTTACCATTTATGCTAAGGTTAGGCTTACAGTCAGCCAATCAGAATTAAGGGATACGTTTGCCATTTATGTTAAGTTTAGGCTTACGGTTAACCAATCAGAATTAAGGGATACATTTACAATTTGTTAAGTTTAGGCTTACAGTTAGGGAACTATTATTCCCCTCTGATTTTGGGAATAATTTACAGTTATGGTTGGGTTTAGGGGTAGGTAACTGGTATATATTACATTTTGAACAAAAATGATGTTCCATGATTAACATACAGTGGGTGACACTTTAAAATGAGCATAGTGCAGTACAGTACAGTATAGTAGATGTTAATTCAGGAATGGGTCATAGTTGGCAAAATTATGACGTACCTCTGCTGAGGGAGGATCTGAGAAATACAATTATGTGGGTTCACCCAAACAAAGGTGTAATTGTAAATGTGCAGGCAAGGAAAAGTCTAAGTGAAGACACACATGTAGTTAGTAAAAAAAATCCAAAATAGGAACAAAAACACAGCAAATCCGGGCTAGACAAAGGATGCCTACTTAGTAACACTGACTGAAACAGTAGGGCTTACAGTGTATACACAAGCCTAACAAGGGACAGAGACAGCCATGTTTCCAACCACATATTTTTATGCACATTTTGGAATAATGTATAAAAATACTTAAAAATCCAAGACTGCACATACATTTTTAAAATGTGCATAAATAAACATGTGAACAACTAAATTTCAATCCAAAAATTTGATTTATGAACAAAACTTCAATTTTGCATAAAACATCTGAAAATAAAGCATTGTTTTCAGAACAAAGTGATTATTTCTTGATGAAATGGTGGCAAATATCAAAACACAAACAAAAAAAGCACTGTGTACCTTTTTTCTTATCTAATAAATGACTTGTGCCGAAAAGACGAAAAGCAATGAATGTGCAATGGCTTTTAGAGGCTACTTGGGAGCACACTCAAAACAGTTTGGGAGATAATAATAATACTGAACCACTTTGATGACAGATTTGGCTGAGGCAGAATGACCAAAACAACATTTAAGATGTTTTACAATGTGGTGGATTTGGTTTGGTTTGCATCATAACAAGCTTGTTTTTGTTACCAAATGAACTGTAAAAACAAAATAACACTATTCTTTGATGCACATACACCGTTATGTAAAAGTTATTATGTAATTGTGTCTACATCGTGGTTAAGGCACCTTTGTTTTATCTGAAAAAATGTTATCCTAGCAACTGGAGCAAAGAACATGGGTAACTATATGCATTAACAAGGGTGTGACACAGACAGCACAATGACTAAACATAAACAGTGGGGCAAGACAAAAACATAAAAGAATCCAAAAGCACATAACAGAGGACACACAGGGAAACCGGGAACATGACAAGAGGATTGTTCCAGTAAAACAATGTGGTCACCCCACATAATCAATGTCCAGCTCCAAATAAAAATGTAATTATAAAATGGATTAAAAGACTTTTGCAAATTGTCTGTCATGGAACAACAATAAAGAAAGTATCTGCATAATAAAAGGCAAACAAACTCTTTAGTATCTGTACAGTATTTGTCATTTTGTTATAACTTCATGTTCATATTCCATATGCTAGCTTTCTATTAACTTTCTACCTTTCTAGTCTAGCCCGGTACTATGAAGGTTTACTTAATATGTATTTACCGAACATGCCATTTATTTTTGCTTGTTCATATTTCTTACGCTACTATTTTATTAACCAGTTGGAATCATCAGTTGCTTTTAAATCTTGTTGCATAGGCTGCTCTATCTATCTGAAATGTCAGCAGTCGATTCTCTGGATGCTTTATTTCATTTTCTTTTAATCAACACAAAGTGCAGCCTTCGATGCCATTACATTTGGCGTTCTCCAGGATAATTCAAGTAATTTCTCTACAATTTTAGCTGCAAAAGGAGTGTGGTAAAAGCACGTTGACATTTACTCTGTGAGACAGTGTTAAAATGTGTAACCCACTCAACCCTCGTCAGACTAGAAACTTTCTTACTCTCATTTCCTTTGAACTGATTGTTGGTCAGAACCTGCAATTACGGCACTGCTCCTAGGATACATCTATCGTGTAACAGTTTCAGTCTAATGGATTCTACCTCCACTTTCACCCCGAAAAGCATTATACATTTTTAACTTAATACAATGGACTTAAAATTGATGGAATTAATTCCACGTCTAACTGCTGACATCCTGCTGTTCATATGCTTTCATCCAGAGCCCATTCTGTGACCTGGAACCCACACAAGATGATGGGCGTTCCACTGCAATGCTCCACCATTCTAGTCAAGAGGAAGGTGAGCTGGGCTGGACAGTTTAATATGTAATGTTAAGCTCAATAAATAAAGATTTAGTCACACTTAAGGCCATTCATAACAGTTTTTGGCATTAAAAACTGCTACTAGGATTTACTTAAGGCATGCAGTGAAAAATTAGTGATGAAAAAATGTGGATTTTATTTGGAACATAGAGACCACCGAGGTGGTACAGGAAGAGCAATTTTCTACATTTGTGTTCATTTATTTTAAATACCTTAAGTCATCATCTGAAGCATATTATTCGGAATTTGTACTGCTCTTGGTAGACTACATTGGTCATTATGTAAATTAGATGCTGTGTCTACTGATCAGTGCTTGTTTCCGTATTCTTTAATTTGCATATTGTCAGTAAATCAACCAGCAGAAATGTTTACTCTCATCAGTACCTTTATGAGAAACATTAATGGAAAAAAAATATTAATGATTTATTTAAAGCTGATGCACACTGTAATGCATTTCATAATGTTATGAATAATTATTACTAAAGATGAAGAAATATTTATTAACAACACAAACCATTTCATTCCAAGTGTATATGTGAAATGATGACTTTTTAAAAGTTTCTATAATTAGATCTAAAGTATTGTAGGGCTATGTGGTTGTTAGGGTGTTATATGTGATTGAAAGGTACTTTTCAGGGTTTTCTATGTGGTTGCTAAGCTGTAGCTATGGTGCTATGGTGATCTACTGATTTCTGGTATGATGTTAGGCTGTTGCGCGCAAGATGGCCTCGCTGCAGTTTGCAGCTTGAAGATGTAGGCGATCATCAACTAAGTGCAGACCATGTACCACCCACTAAGGTAATGCCCATTGCTACTGTGATGGTTTGGTTTAGGGTAGAGGGAGGTGTAGGCGATTGTCAACTATTTAGCGGATCTTGTACCGTCCACTAAGGTAGCCCCCATGCAACTGTGACAGTTGGGTTTAGAGTAGGGGAGGTGTAGGCGATTGTCAACTATGTAGTGGACCTTTTACCGCCCGCTAAGGTAGCGCCCATGCTACTGTGACAGTTGGGTTTAGGGTAAAGGAAAGTGTAGGCTGTTGTCCTTGTACCACCCACTAAGGTAGCGCCCATGCTACTGTAATGGTTGGGTTTAGGGTTGGGGAAAGTGTAGGCGATTGTCCTTGTACCACCCACTAAGGTAGCGCCCATACTACTGTGACGATTGGGTTTAGGGTAAAGGAAAGTGTAGGCAGTTGTTCTTGTACCACCCACTAAGGTAGCGCCCATACTACTGTGATGGTTGGGTTTAGGGTAGAGGAGGTGTAGGCAATCGTCCTTGTACCACCCACTAAGGTAGCATGTTAGGGGGAGGTGTAAGCGATTGTCCTTGTACTGCCCACTACGGTAGCACCCATGGTACTCTGATTGTTGGGTTTAGTGTAGGGGGAGGTGTGGGCGATCTTAAACTACATAGTGGACTTTCTACTGCACACCAACATAGCACCCATGCTACTGTGACGGTTGGATTTAGGGTAAGGGGGGTGTAGGCAATCGTCAACTATTTAGTGGACCTTTTAACGCCCACTAAGGTAGCGCCCATGCTACTGTGGCGATTGGGTTTAGGGTAGGGGGAGGTATAGGCGATCGTCAACTACATAGGGCCTACTCACACTATGCTATTCGTAACGTGCCTAGGCCCATTTCCCGGATCGTTTGAGAAGTGTAAATGCGCTGAATCGGGCTCAGGCACAGTTCACTTGGCCGGCCCTGGCCCGGTGGGAAGAAGTGTGCTTTGTGTTGGGAGGTTGGGCTTTGGCGCGATATATTTGTGTGTGAGTGCAAAACGCGCCTAAGACCAAAACTGAAAGCGAGTCATGACTTTTAAGGGACTGTTTGATATGGATTAATTAATCATCCTTACTGTACAAAGCATCGATGAAGTAAGCATGCCCAGGCCTGATTGTAATGTGAGTGAAGGCCGTCGGGGAAGACGGGAGGGGGGACAAGCGTGCTTTGGCCCAGTTCAAGGCATCTGTACATAATGTGAATACGCCCATAGTGGACATTGTACCGCCCACTAAGGTAGCGTCCATGCTACTGTGACGGTTGGGTTTAGGGTAGGGGGAGGTGTAGGCGAACGTCAACTACGTAGTGGACCTGGTCAACTACGTCATCAAGCAGAGAGCTGCAGCGAGGACTGTCTTGTTGCATGTGCTTAGGCCTACTGTTTGGTTGTTAGGTTGTCAACAATGGTTGATAGACAGTTACTATTTGGTTGTTGGGATATTATGGGTTGTTGTCAATATGGTTGCTAGATAGCTTGCTAGAGGTTTGGCAGTTGCTAGGCTGTTGCAGGTGGTTACCATGCCATTACAGCTGGTTGTAGGTGGTTGCTATGGTAGTAAGGTTAGTGGCTAAGTGGTTATTACTTAGATGTTCCTTTTAAGATGCTAATAATGCCAATTGGCTCTTACTGAGAACATACAACATTTAATTTCGAATGGACTTATCATTTGATCTTATGACTCATTACTGTAGATTTTAATGTCTTTAGATTTTAGCATTTTCATTTACAAGTAAAAAATCTTTCTCCTAGGACATGTTAACCGAAAGGTTTTTTAGATAACAATGTCTTACATGGCATTACTTGAAAACACCCTTTTGGGAAACTTTATTTGTAGTTTACTTGTTGGGTGAAAACAAAAATAAATAATTTACTCAAATAACTGTGATCCAAAGGACAAATCCTTCCTCGACTATATGTGTTTTACCTCAGTCAGTCATTCAGGATAGTTGCAGTCGAGTCTCTCAGTTTTGATAAATATGAATATCAGAACACAAGCTTGCAGAATTCACAGCTTGCAATACAATCAGAAAACCCAGGGATCCAAAGGCTTTGTCATGAACATTACAACTTGACAGCTAAGGACAATATAGGGACTTGTTCACTTTCACAACAGACTGCAAACAGTCATTGATGCCTGAGGAGTTATTGAAAACCATGGTTATATGCGCTGTTCTCAGGGCCTCCTGCAGCAGTGTAATCAGCTGTGTGCCGAATATCTCTTCCAACCTGACAAGCACTACGAAGTGTCCTACGACACTGGGGACAAAAGCATTCAGTGCGGACGACACGTGGATATCTTTAAACTGTGGCTCATGTGGAAGGCGAAGGTAACCACAGTGACCTTCATACATATGTACAGTACATATATAGAGAGTAAATGAACTACCAGTCAAACGTTTGGGGATCAGTAGGATTTTTAAATATTTTAAAATCAGCTTCTCCTGCTCACCAAGGCTGCATTTATTTAATCATAAATACAGTATAAATTGTACAATTGTGAAATGTTATTGCACTATAAAATAACTGTTCAAAAGTAGTTTCTAATTTTATTTAATAACTTATCCCAGTGATTTGAATGATAAATTTTTTTAGCTTCATTACTTCGGTCTTTAGAGTCACATGATTCTTCAGAAATTACTCTAATATTAATTATTATTATTATTTATAATAATAATTTTAATAATACTATTAATATAATTCTTATTAATGGTAATAGTAATAAAAGCAATAACGACTGGAGTAACAATTTGACACAAAAAGTAATAAATCAATGTTTAATAAATAATTATTTGACAATTTAAAATTTTTTGTTCAATTAATTGATTTTTTTACATTTAATAAATGCCGCCTTGATGAACAGAATATTTTTTAAAATTATTTTTAAAAATTAATGAATAAAAAAATAAATAAAAAATTACCCTAAACCCAACTGTCATTATTGATAAGCAATTTGTACAAAATTGTACAAATGACATCATACAAATTCATATGACTTAGCCAATAAATCAAAAAGTTATGAATTGCCGTGCAATGTTCATTTATCTGTTTACATCAAGATTTACCTGTTGAATTATCTGTTTATTTCTTTTTTGCATTTTTGCCAAAATATCCAAAGGCCCTGCAATGCATTACTAAGGCATCTGTTCAGTTTGTGGAAAAAACAGCACATTGAAGAACAACCCCCAAAGACATTTTTCTTTTCTTATAGTAAAAAAAAAAAAAGATGTTGAATAAATTCTTTTTAGGGCTCCGAGGGTTTTGAATCACAGGTCAACCACTGCCTGGAGAATGCAGAGTATCTTTACTACAAGCTGAAGAGAAGAACAGATTTTCAGCTCGTCTTCAAGGGAAAAGTAAGTGGCGTGTTCCTGTGCACTTTCAGCCTATTAAGATGGAAATTGCTGAATGATTTGAACAGTTGTTAGAGGTCATGGTGAATTGCCATGGTGAATCTGTGTACCTGCTAACTGCACATTTCTTGACAAAGTTTAAAGATTTCCTCCATTTTTTCAGCCTGAACACAGTAATGTGTGCTTTTGGTATCTCCCCAAACGAGTGCAAAACATTCCTCTAGGCCCAGAGCGAGAGAAAGAACTTCATATGGTGAGTCAAGAAATAAAGCTTTTTTTTTCTTAGTTGCTACATTCAGGAAGTGTGTTCTATGTTTTGTGTGATAAATAGTGTGGTTAATTTAAAGTGCAAATGCTGCCAAGATTCTATCCCTGTTTGTGTGGGTTTTCTCTGAGTTCTCTGGTTTACCTCATATGTTTGTTAATGAGTGTGTATGGATGTTTCCAAGTGATGGGTTGCAGCTGGAAGGGCATCTGCTGCGTAAAACATATGCTGGATAAGTTGACGGTTCATTCCACTGTGGCAACCCCAGGTTAATAAAGGGACTAAGCCGAAAAGAAAATGAATGAATGAATGAATGAATGATGCTGGCAAGGTTAAAGTCTAGATAAGATACAGCTGCAGATACTCAATTAATAAAGCATAATATTTGTGACACTATACAACAATAATTAATATTTTGTTGGGTTTAGGGTTGGGATATTGGCAGAAATAAAAAAATACAATTACAAAATTATAAAATAAAATTGGGGTTATATATATATATATACGCAGTGGCGGAGTGGGTAGCATGTTCACCTCACAGCAAAAAGGTCGCTGGTTCAAGCCTCGGCTTAGTTGGCGTTTCTGTGTGGAGTTTGTATGTTCTCCCTGTGTTCGCGTGGGTTTCCTCCGGGTGCTCCGGTTTCCCGCACAGTCCAAAAACATGCAGTACAGGTAAATTGGGTAGGCTAAATTGTCCGTAGTGTATGAGTGTGCGTGTGTTTTTGAATGAGTGTGTGGATATTTCCCAGAGATGGGTTGCAGCTGGAAGGGCATCCGCTGAGTAAAAACTTGCTGGATGATTTGGCGGTTCATTCCACTGTGGCGACCACGGACTAATAAAGGGACTAAGCCGACAAGAAAATGAATGAATGAATAAAATACAATTGAATGGGTATTTTAAAAAATAATATGAATAATACTGTGTAGAATTACTTTTTTACATGTGAGGATTGGGTTTAGGGTTAAAGTAGACGTTAATAAAATACATTGAAATTTAATTGATATAAATAGTTCTTGTTGGTACTGGGTTGCAGCTGTAAAGGCATCCGCTGTGTAAATCATATGCTGGATAAGCTGATGGTTCATTCAGCTTTGGCGACCCCTAATTAATAAAGGGACTAAGCCGAAGGAAAATGAATGAATTAATGAAATAATTTTTGTTAACTTCCTGTCATAGCTGTATCACATCTAGCAATACCCCTGTAAAAGTGGGACCACTTCCAAATGGACTCTGGTAAATTTTCATGAAAATATACATGACTGTATTCAAGACAAAACAAGCTGAGGGCAAATATGAAGTAATGAAGTGGTATTGTGTCTAATTTACATTTCAGCCAATGAGCATTTTTCAAAACATTAAAAAAACAATTATAGTGCTCAGAATGTTCAAGTTACACTCTACATTTTAGAAAAAAAAGGTTTAATGGGAGTGTGGAACAAAACTGCATAACAGTGAAGAAGCTGCATCAGCAGTTCATATGCATCCAAATAGCAGCTCTGGTAATGAAAACATTTTATGGTATGAAGGTATGGGTCCAATTCTGGGCATGTACATGTAAGTTATTTGAAGAGTCCACAAAGAACACTAGAGCAGACGTAGACAAATTCCACATTCTATACATTTATTTTGCTCCTGCAAACTTCAAACTTGTGAAATGTTTTTCTGATTAACACATTTGTCATGTTCTGACAATAAACGTTTTAAAAGTCTGGTTTCGACAACTTTCACTCAGGAGCAAATATTTCAGGGACCTTTTTTTTTTACTCTTCCTTCACTGGTTTCAAATGTTTATGATGATTTTTTTTAATTCTGCTAAACACAGAAGAAGATATTCTGACGATGAGAAAAACAAATACTAAGTCAATGTTTACAGGTTAACAGCATTAATCAAAATGTAGTTTTGTGTTTAACAGAAGAAAGAAACTCATAAATGTTTGAAACAAGGGTAAGCAAATGATGACAGAGTTTCCATTGTTAGCTGAACTATCACATTACACATTTTATGAACTGTTATGAAACCATGTGTGCTATCTTGTTTGGATATATTGGTTTACAATAGAACTAACTGAAGAGCATCTGCTGTGTCGTGGGCTAAACGTGTACTGTACATAATGTTATTTTTTTTCAGTTGTAAAATTGTGCAGAGCATAAATGATTTTTAAGAGTTCCCACTTAGCTAATGATTGATAATAAAGTGTGTTTGGCATGCAGGAGAGAACCCTGAGCTCAGAAGATGCTCGAGCCCGGGGCTCCCTCCTGTTTGAAGGGAGAGAGGGGAGCTTGAGCTCAGGTAGGTCTGGAGAACTCCCCTGCTTGTTATGGATAATGACGAGTTAGGAATTGCTAAGAAAGATATAGTACGGTTGACTACGAGTTCATCTATGGTGCCAGTTTGGATTAGTCAATTCACTTATGTTGTTTGTCTTTGGATGGCGGGAGGAAACCAGGGAACCCAGGGGAAACCCACACGAGCACAGGGAGAGCATGTATATTTGTCAGAAACAGAAACGTCAGCTGAACCGGTGACATTTGCTGTGAGGTAACAGTGCTAACCACTGGGCCGCCGTGTCATCTTATCTAGGAAAAGAGAGGAGGAGTGGGGTGGAAGGGGGGATTCTTCAAGACGAAGATTTTTGAGGTGAGAAACTGGTAATTTATAGTGAATCAGGATTTATCTGATTGGTGCATCATGTGTTAGCTGACGCAGGACCAGCTGTGGTCAATCATAAGCATGTGATCCTCTCAAAATTAGTTTATAAATAAACCACACAAAGGAGTCAAAACACCAAAAGGAATTAATTTGTCTGTGAGCAAACACATTTGTAAAGTCCGTTTTGAACTGTAATTGGGAACACTGTCACTATAATGAGGAAAAAACAGGTATGCTTGAGAATTTTGTCCTTTTATGGTCATATCTTCTGACATCATGCCATGTTTTGTTAAGTCTTTGAAATGTGTAGCATTTATTTTTTTAATCAAACATTTCAATCAGTCTCAGTATACTTCAACAGTGTTCAAATGGCAGTGTTCACACTTGGTCAAACAAACTGCACTAACAGAGCAATCACACCAGAGTTCTTTTTTTAGACATCCAAAACTGCAGAGTGTGAACACAGCCCTAGGGATTCACAAACCTGCTTCTGTTATCTGCTTGTAGTTTACACACTGACCTTATGAATTCCCACAGGTGGCTCCGAAGATCAAGACAAAGATGATGGAGGAAGGATTCACCATGATTGGCTATCAGCCTTTGGAAGACAAAGTGAATTTCTTCCGTTGCGTTTTCTCCAACCCAGCGACACAGAGGGAAGACGTCGACTTCCTGCTGGATGAAATCGTCCGTCTGGGCTGTGAACTCTAGGAAGACACATTTCTTTTAAAAAATCACTCTTTTTATGTGTGAAAGTTAATGTATGTTAGAAAAATATTTATTTATTTAAGGCTGATGCCAGTTGTTATTGCATAATAAGAGTGTAGCATTAACATTTTACAATTTATTAATGAGACCAGATAACTCTAGAAAAAGACAAACCTGAGCAGTGAAAATATATATAGCAAAGCCAAAGTTTGTTTATAACTGAAAAAAATCTAAATGTAGAGATATTTTTCATACTTAAGTTATTGGCATAAAAGCTTATGGGGGGAATATTCAACATTTTTGAAGTGTCTCCATTGACATGATGCATCAAAAACTAGCACATTTTATTAATACATCTGCCAATGTCCATGTATAATAAGTATGACACCATCTTTCTAAAGTCAATTTTTCCGCCTGTATAAATTTCAGGTGAACATTCCCATTTTGACCTCTGTAAATATACATCCATGACATTCATATGTGCTTTCTTTCACCTGAATAAATATGATAATAATTACAATTCTTAGCCAATATCTAACTCCTGGCTGAGCTGACATGAAATGACCCATCTCTTTTCTTAGTTTATCTTTATATTAGCCATTATTAATAATTTAGACTTCATCTCAGTAAACAGTGTGCTGTACGTGATCTCTTTTACTAACATACCGTTTGACTGATGAACATCTGAACTAAATTTTCAATCAGATTTGAAAGGCATAAGGTAAAGCCACACTCACCAAAAGGAATAAATGATCACTGATTTTCTTTAAACTGACATACACTTTTAAGATGAAGCATCCACTCGATACGTGACTAAATTGCACCTGGTTTTAATCTAGAAGCACTGACTGAGTGACTTTTGAGGGGAAAAAGTGCACTCACTCATGTCTTGCTAAACTTGTCGATTAGCCCGTTTGTTTTGCAGTCTACTAGCGCCTCCTGCTGGCAGGATTGTTAACGGATGAAGCTTTCATGATAAATTTGTTTGAATATTAAAAAAAATAAATAAATAAATAAATGACACCCCTATAAATAAGTAGGGAAAGTGGTATATAAATATAGACTTAGATTTGATTTACATTACCTTAAAGCAGAATTTATGTAATAATTAAATGATTAGTGACAGACAAAACTGAATTTTAGAATAGGCCTAAATAAGATTAATATGAAGTAACATTTTTAAGTTACATTTAATTTTCATTTATTTTCTATTGAAGATATTTCACAAAACAAGGCCTATTGCAGACTAAATGATGCACTGAATTTTAATGAAAATCTAAAACATTGATACCTGATTTCTGTATAAAATATTTATATATTTTATGTTATTTATAATACTCGTTGTTTTTAACGATTTACTCTTTGTACAACACATCACATTACAACACATTAATTTTCCTTTGGCTTGTCCCTTTATTCATCAGGGGTCGCCACAGCAGAATTAACCACCAGCTTATCCAGAACGTTTTACACAGTCCCCTTTCAGCTGCAACCCAGTGCTGGAAAACACACGTACGCACGCATTCACACACATACTAGCCAATACTTTAGTCGCCTATATTACAGCATGTCTTTGGACTGTGGGGAAACCGGAGCAACCAGAGGAAACCCATGCAAACACGGAGAAATGCCAATTGATCCAGCCGGGACTCGAACCAGCGATCTTCTAACTGTGAGGTGACAGTGCTAACGTACTTGTGAAATAATGTATACGTACTTGTTTATAATGTAAACGTACTTGTTTATAATGTAAACGTGATTTAAAACATTTATTTATGTGTTTATTTGTATACCACCTGCTGCTGTTCAAGCTCCATTGGTAATAAAACCATATATCATGCAGGTCCCTCTGAATTTTCTTTCCCGCACGACCTGCTTGCTGGGATTAATTTGTCCTCTAGTCCACAAATGACATTTATGACTGGAAATCGTTCAAACCTGATTTTTATTTATTTATTTATTTATACCCACTTTATCTTGAGTCTTGCTTCTGACATTTTTTTAAATTGATTTATTTTTTATTTATTTTTTTGCCCCGTTATTTCCCCAAATATAAATTTCGAAGGCAGGTGACAAGATCCTTGCGCGGAGGATTTGTGAGCTGTGTGACTGTAAAGATGGATTGTTGTCAGTGTTGTGTGTTAATGGCCTGTTAAAGGATAGGTGATTTACTAAAGTTGGAGAAGAAAGCGAGCCGTGGCCCGTGGACAACAGTATCAATCATGTACAGTGCGGCCTGATGTCAGCAAACGCAGCACTTCTGTGAAGTTGACAGATGCAGGTTGAGGTAAATGAGGTGTGCTCTTTTGCCGTTTTTGGGGTAGAGCTCTAAAACTAAACATGCCAAGAGTACGTGGAAAAACACGCAAAACACCGCACACCTGTCTTCTTCTCGAGCATTTTAATGGCCATTTGTTTCCTGCTCCTGTTGCCGTAACAGATCCGGCTTTGATAATTGTGGGTTCATTTATTTAAGGGTTCAACCAAATATGAAAATTACCTCATTTACTCTCCTTCATGTTAAATCGTTAAATCTTTACGAGTTTCTTTTTTTATTCCATATAAAAACAAATATTCCATTGAAAAATGGTTTGCTGTCATGCATATGACATAATATAATTATTGCATATTTACATTTGATCAATTTCATAACGATGGCATTAAATATTAAGCTGTATTTTGACTTTGTTCTTATTTATGGAGTGTGTGATACACTGAACTGTCATTTTTATATTCAAGTTTTGTAAAAAAAAAAAAAAAAAAAAAATCCTCTTTGGCTGAAATATGAGTTTTCATATTACCTTTTATTCCAATGTCATAAAGCGTTTTTATACTGCAATTTTTTTTAACCTTTTTCTTCCTTAAATATCTTTTCATCAAGCTTTTGGTCATAATGTTGACTTTTAAATTAGACTGGTTTTCAGCCTGGATGGTGGCTTCTTTATGTTTTATTCTAGATATTTTGAGAAAGAATTATGACTAAACTGTTTAAAAAACAGTATATAATATATATATATATATATATATACACATACACACACACATTGAAATAAAAAATAAAAACATTATTATGAGATAAAACAACAAAATTTAATCTAAAAAAGTCATAATTATGTCCATTGAATCTTATGAAGAATGTTTTTACTTTTTATATATCTCTTCGTAAGTCATAATTGTGACATCTTATGTCTTAAAATGTCATAGTTTCAAAATATTGACTTTTTAAATATAATTATGATTCAAAGCATGCACTTGATGTTGCCTAATTATGGTGTTACATCAGTACAGGAAATCACATGATCAAATGATTGTAGTATTCTGATTGGCTCCAACGAGCAAGAAAATGATTACATTTGCATTACTTTCCAAAGAAGTAAATATATATCAAGTGAGTCCTAATTTATTCTCTCTCTGAACTGGACTAGAAGCTTCATTGTTGAACTTTTTTGTTAATTAATTCCAAATAAATAGGGGAGAGTGGGGTAAGTTGTCACACTTTTCATACTTTCTAACTTCTACGGAGCACTACATCACAATATAATAAATGACATTCCTAATGAAAGAAGGAAGTCTCAGGCGCATATTTTGTATTCATTAAATTTTCATATCTTATCTCATTACGGGACTGTTGAATGGAGAATGTACACTTGTGAAAATTTGCCCCATCGGCAAGTAAGTTGTCACACTAGATTATCTGAAAATAAGAACACAACTGCTTTATTAATAATTGATTATTGATTTAAATTTTTTAATTCAAAGCAAAACTTGAAATATAAACAATCATACCAAGAGGGTTTGAAAAAACTCAAATGTTCTCTGGCTTGCTCATAGATCTATGATAACTGAAGATAATTTGCATAGCTTAACATCTGTTTAACATACAAACAAATTGATGCCCTGTCTGATTAAGGGCAGAGTTGGTGCTGGGGCATGGCATGGTAGAGTTCATGCTGGGACCTGGCAGGATAGAGTTTATGCTGGGGCCTGGCAGGGTGTTGGTGCCTGGCTGGACAGTGTTCTGAATACGGTGATCTGTGACGTAGGATGGTGCAAACTCGGTTTCCAGAAATACATTTCTGTTGTAAGGTTGAATCCTAGCCACCGTAAAGTCAGCCTGAATGTTCAGAGGGGTTGTAGCCACATAGGCAATGGCTTAAGTACTGCCTTAATTCACATGTGACAACTTGCCCCAAACTAACATCTGTGCTAATGTTGGCTAAATGTCAGAGTAAGCCCAACATAGCATATCAGCAAATGTTTCAAAAGACAATATCGTCTCATCTATTTTATGCAAAATAATAATTTTTAAAATCCACCCATAACAATGTTGTACTGTATACAATTTAAAGTGATTTGTTTTTACTTTTTTGGCCAAAAGATAAGAAAAGTGTGCAAACCTCACTTAAGAGCAATCTTGAACACACGTGAACAGGAGGTTGACTATAGAAGAGGAGTCACACAGTGGCTATTTGATTTTTAAGATAGCACCTGTAGTGTTGGAGTTATGAACATTGTGACAAATTACTTCGCTCTCCCCTACTTTTAACTATTTAAGATTACCACATCATTTTTTATTTTATTTTAATTTATTTATTTTTTTTGTCAAGTTTTGCTGGAAAAGAAATGATACAACATATTCTATTGTAATAATAATAATAACATATAACTAAACTTAACTTTATTATAGGTAACAGGAAAGCGAAAACGTCAAACATGTAAACTGAAAAGTACAGCATGTACAATGTGTTTTGTATTCTGCCTGTCATTTATAACATGATATTTGGGATCCTTCAAGTATGTTGATCTCTTACATTTCACATACTTTTTTTATATACAGTGCCTATAGAAAACCATCACACTCTGTAAAAATTTATACCTTTACTCACATATACTCTGCTTTCAAAAGACCTATCAACAACTGGGATAAAGTTGTTGAAAGGCGTCTACAAAAACATATCAAAGGCTGGAAAATTGATTTGAAATGTGAACTAATTCCAGGCTCTATGAAAAATAAAGTCATTTTTAAAGGGGTATAATGATTTTCTATATAGGCACTGTATAATGTGCAGTCATAAATCACACCTACAAAAAGTCATAAAAAACTGCATTGTGTCAGAGCTTTTAATGAGTTTTCATGGGCCTCTATAATGAAAAAAATCTAATCAAAATCAGTATAGAGTGAAATAACTTGTCACCATTAATAATGTCAGGGAAGCAAGAGTGTGATAACATGTTACTGAATTGATTGTATTCATTAAATTATAGTAAAAACTGTAATATTCTGAAATATCAGTGGAACAGATTTTAATTTATTTTTTATATTTAATTTAGTCCTGTGGTGGTAAAACTGAATTTTGTTTTACCATAATTCCTCTAGTCATCAGTGTCAACTGATCCTTAAAAAATCGTTGTAATATGCTGATTTAATACATAATTTATTCATATTTATTTGTTATTTTTAAAACGAGGAAAACCACACCTAATAACAGATCTAAAAATGATTGACTGACCACCATTGCAACTCACAGAAGTCATATTGGAAGATAAATTTAGAACCTCACAACATACATTAATAAAAGTATACATCCATCACTCTGTAGTTTTATAGACAGCCATTTTCTCCACATTTTAGTATTTGTAATTATTAGCAATATTGCAAACAATTAAGCTGCTGAATGTTTTAATGGGCAAGGTTTATTTTAAGGATTATTAAGCACCAAGAAATATAAACAATCAAATGGTTAGGATATTTATATTTTAAGATTAAATTATGTTAAATTTAAATGAAACACACACACACACCACATAAAACCTCTGTTTATTTAACCAAACCAATCAGAGAGGTTTTCATTCGTTTAATCAAAGACAAAGTCAAAACACACAGGTGAAAAAAAGAGAAAAATATATCATTACAGATTGATACCAATGCAAACAATGGTGGTATTTTAAAATAAAACATTTGAATAAAACACTTAAAAACAACCACTCATTTTGAAATACAACAACGAACATTATTCAAAGGCAGTGCAGCTACATTTAATGTTAATTCGTTTTTACATTTTAGTGTTCAGTCACAATCTGCACAACTGTCGATATCGCACAAGTCTAGTTTAGCATTAGAGACTATGTTAAATCGTCAGTTCACCCAAAATTTAAAACAATGTTACTAATTACTCACCCTTACATGTCATTCTTTGGTACAATATATTTTAGATGAAATCTGAGAGCTCCCTCATCCTGCATAGTCAGCAAGACTCATTCGCAGTCCAGAAATAAAACATCCTCAAAACAGACCATACGCCTTCAGTGGTTCAATCTGAATATTATCAAGCTGAGAAAATGTTCTGCCCACAAAAAAAAAATAAAAAATACGACTTTATTTTATGGTTCTTCTCCTCAATGCCAGTATAGGGCAACATGTTCACGTCTCTGATTACCTTAGATGCACTTGTGGTTTTGTTTGAAACTAAGAAATGTATACATCAGTGCACAGTACTCATCAGTGTGCACCCTTTACTGACAGTGAGGAGAAGAAACATGGTTAATGAAGTTATTTTTGTTTTATGTGAACACAAAAGTGTTATTGGAGCTTGATTATATTCTCAATGAATCACTGAAGGCATTTTTTCTGGACTTTGAACAAGTCTGGAAGCTTGCAGTCTAGGGCAGGGGTGTCCAAACTCGGTCCTGGAGGGCCGGTGTCCTGCTGGGTTTAGCTCCAACTTGCTTCAACACACCTGCCAGAAAGTTTCTAGTATATCAAGCAAGAGCTTGATTAGATGATTCGGGTGTGTTTGATTAGGGTTGAAGCTAAACTCTCCAGGACACTGGCCCTCCAGGAACGAGTGTGGACACCCCTGGTCTAGGGTGAGGGAGCCCTCAGATTTCAGTCAAATGATTTTAATTTGTTTTCCAAAGACAAACGAAGATCTCAGGGGTTTAGAACTGCGTACAGGTAAGTAATTAATAACATAATTTTCATGTTTTTGGTGAACTGACACTTTAAATTTCCCACAGGTAAATACAAAACATGCAAATACATGAAACCAGATTCTGAACATTAATTGAACAAATTCCTACTCCAAAAAGGAAGACTGAATGAGGGCTTATATCAACATTACCCAACCCGAGGTAATTAAACAAGCTTTAAATTTGTACAATCCCAACTGTACAAATTGATATGATTTAAAAAAAAATAAACTCCACACATTACTGGATGCGAGTAAAACACGAGTACAATGAGCCTGTACAAATGTATACGAGTAAGCCACATAACTTAAAATACTGTAGATATGAAAAACTGTCATGAGACTGGCTTGAAATACAATAGGCTGCATAGATCTTACTCCTCTTTTATTTTTGCTCATCTGTATACAGCAGGGGTATCCAAGCTCCATCCTGGAGGGCCGGTGTCCAGCAAAGTTTATTTCCAACCCCAATCAGACACACCTGGGCTAGCTAATCAAGTTCTTGCCTTCTAGAAACATCTTTGCAGGAGAGTTGAGGTAAGTTGGAGCTAAAATCTGCAGGACACTGGCCCTCCATGGACCAAGTTTGGACATCCCTGGTATAAAGCCACCACATCAGGCATGTCCAAGCTCAGTCCTTGAGGGCCGGTGTCCAGCAAATTTTAGTTCCAACCATAATCAGACACACCTGGGCTAGCTAATCAAGCTCTTACTAGGCTTTCTAAAAACAACTTGCCTCAACGCACCTGCAAGGATGGAGCTAAAATCTGCAGGGCACCGGCCATCCAGGACCGAGTTTAGAAACCCCTGCACTACATACACAAAGTACGATTTCAAGATAGAGCCCAAATGGATGGTCCATTTCAATAGGTTTTTCATCCTTCTCATCCGCAGGAAATAATAGTGAAGCGTTTGGACACGCAGGACATGTTATGCAACACGATACCCAACAGAAAGATCAAAATGAATGCCACAAGTAGAACAGTGCAAACCCCAGTCCATGCAGTAGTCTTAACCACCACCACCTCCTCCTCCATCCCATCCCCAAGACTGTCATGTCCTAGAACATGATTCTGTCCATCCGAGACATCAAACACACCGATGCTTTTAGGGCCAACATGGCAGGTTGGTTGTCCAGGCAGCGGTGTCCCATCGGTGTCCAGAGAGACAGGCAGAAGGTAGCATCCATTGTTGGGTAAATGTATAAAGATGGGTGTGTGTTCGGAAGATTGGGAAACACTGATAACAGAAAGTACTTCCGGGTCATCTGGGAGATGGGAGACTGAAAGGCCAATGGGGATCTGGGTCACGCAGCGACACCAGGGACAGCGAATCTCCCTCTGGCTGAGCCTCATCTGGCTCAAACACACGGAGCAGCAGGTATGCTGGCAGTGCAAGAGTTTGGGAAGGCGCCGTTGGCTGAAGTAGTTGAAACATATTTGACACTCAAGTTTGGAGCTCTGGGACAAGCTATCCATCGTCTTTAAATCGCGGCTGTTGCACATAAACAGAAGCGGTTTGCTTGCTTTAATGACAGTTTCCTTTCCGATTTGTGTTGCCAATCCACTTGTTAAGTCTGTCAGTTTCCTTTCTGATTTGTGTTGCCAATCCACTTGTTAAGTCTGCCAGTATCCTTTCCGACTTGTCGCCCATCCACTTGTTAAGTCTGTCAGTATCCTTTCCGATTTGTGCCGCCAATCCACTTGTTAAGTCTGTCAGTGATTTAATCTACGTCTGCTTCTGCCTGTGGAAGCGAGACAGGACGTTGCGTCAAAAACAGACTGCCAAGAATGTAAAATTTTTGGCTGATGCACAAGCAGGCAGAGGGGGTTAATTTATTCTGCGCTAGCTATGAGCTGGATCTAAACTCTTGTCAGGCCTGACTTAGATGTAGACGTCCGGGATAAGTAAACAAATCAGCTGGGATTAGGACTGTCCACAGTCACCCTGAGCCTAGACATTGATCGTGAAGCATGCTGAGGCTAATGCGGTCTTAGGAAATGCTTTTTTTTTTTTTTGCTTTCCACTTCTGAAATCCTTATTACAAGTCATTTTCAAGTGCTGTCTTGTTATAAAGAATAGAATCATGGAAGACAACAGGATCAATCTGGTCTCACACTACAGGAGTTTAAGCTGATTTATCTCTTATTTTGCCCTTTGACAATTTGGGTTAAAAAAAAAATCTGGTTCTGATGTTCAGCCCAAATCTTCAATCTGTTCACAGACACATTAGGTCAACTCTGATCATATCAAACATGCCTTAAACTAGGCTGACTTTGTCAATTATGGGTGATTATGTAATTATAAGTATGTGAGCCAATGTGAGACAAACAAGCTGTGCAAAGATGAAGAAAAAGCTTGTGAACATGGTTAGAGCAATGTACCACTACCAGAAACACACAAGATGTTTCTATTATCATATAACCTGCATAATCATATAAGTTAAAATTGTAAAACCAAAACTCCAAATTATAGCAAAAGCTTTTTTTTTTTTTTTTGGTAAATTGAAAACAATATTTTGTGAAACTGCAATAGAAAATTAATTACAGATCACAAGTCATATGTAAAACATTATGATATTATGCAATTGTTTGTAGAAACTGCCTGTTTTGGATGTGATTCAGAAGGTGCAATAAGGCACAGTAGCATTGCACAAACAAAAAAAAAAAAAAGTTGTTTTGTTCGTCTGGAAATTCTGGATTATTATTTTCATAACCTCCCACAAACACCTCACATGTGGCCGAAGGACTTTTTCTTTCAAGTAAGTTTACTATAAACATTTACGAAACATAGCAAGAAATTCTAACATAAGTTTTGTGCAATAATCTTTATTAGAAACGATTATATAGACTGGGAGCTCAGGATGAATTGTAACCATGTACCAAGTGAGTGAAGAAAACTGCTGGCATGCTAGCTAGCAATGTAAACATGACTTGCTGAAAGGTCAATGTTGATGATCTTGTGTGATATCAAGTGAGATTCTCCGTCTGACTTGATAATCTTTATAAAAAGAATCTCTTATTTTGTTTTTGTGCCATGAATTTGGAAATGTGTGCAAGTTTGAGATTTGAGGGAGGAATATCTGGGAATATTTTCTATATATGCTTGATGCAACCAGAAAAAAATAATACATTTTAAAAACTCCTGTAGTTTGATCCAGTCATAAATTTGATATACAACCAATATATTTAGTCTCTTTTGTTGACAGTCATATAATCATTACTGCTACTCTTGTATACATTCACTAAGCTATAGACGGTCAATGTGCTAGTCATATTACGAAGTTGCAGTCAAATAAATGCTGTTTTCATTAAAATATAATTTGCATGAAATTACATACATAAGCATACATTACTGTAATCGGAACCACACTATAGAGAATATAAAAAAATAAAACCATCATTTAAAAACTATTCTACTTGAATTGCAATGTTTCCAGTGGTACATAACAGCAGCATGAATCATACAAAAGACAAACAGCGCACTGTGATTATTTTTAGGCCTTATTGCTTCAAGGAGTGATTCTTACCATACGTTTAGCACAGGTCCAATCATGCAGTGAGCACAGCTGGAAATAAAGGGAGTCTAAAGGAATATTCTTCTCCATCTAACGTGAAATAACTCTGTTAAAAAAAAAAAAAAAAAAAGTACACAGATAAATGTATCTATCGTTGATGACAGCAAAAAGTCTAATAATAGTTTATATTGCAACAAACTGTAAAAAAAAAAAAGGTGTACATAAATATCTATCTATCTATCTATCTATCTATCTATCTATCTATCTATCTATCTATCTATCTATCTATCTATCTATCTATCTATTTTGTATTAGTACATACTGGTGCAGTTTACAGTAAATCATCTGACACACTTTACCCCACAACTGCGTGGGCCACAGCCAAGCCACATTGGCTTTAAAATTATTCATTTAAAAATTCAGGTCAGTTTACTTTCCTTTATTTGCACGGCATTCTTTACAGTTTTGACAAAGTAATTTTTAATTTTAAGCTTTTATTTAATCATAGTAGTTCAGGGTTATTTGATGAACTGACACACATTTGCATTTTGGATATACAGTTTTTTTTCTTCACCTTGAAAAGCAGTTTGTAATATATTACGCCATTTGAAGGTCTACCAAAATGTATTTTTAATTTGAGAAATACATTTTCTTTAAGCTGCTCTGCTTAAAATATACATTATGTAGTGATGTAACGCATCACAGCTGATCTGTGATTCGTAAGGATCGCAACCCACGGTTCGGAACACACGTGGCCTGCGGATTAATACATCTTTTTACTGGTAGACCAAGCCTAAATTTGTAATGATCACAAAGAGATTGTCTCTCACATCATTCAAATCACATGTATCAAAGTATTTAGACTTTCCTGTAAAAAAATAAAATAAAAAATCGTGGTGGTTATTCAAGATGTGATGGGTTTCATTAAAGGTGTTTTCTGTCACTACTCGTTTATTCAGTGTAAGCTGCACGATTAATCTTTAAAAGTTCAGGATCTCAACACCCACGCAACAAATCATAAACTATGGTGATTTGCATATGTTTATTGTTCCTTTGAATCGCTGCATTTAAATCTGTGTTTGGAAAAACACAAAAATTAAGAGATTGAGTCTTTAGTCTATTCGGTTAGTTATGAAGTTACAAACAATCAATTAATACAGAAGTACTAGGAAAACAGCTTATAGTTTAGATAAAACCACTGATGTTTATGGTATAGATTCAAAATCACTGACATATGCATTTAACGACGGCCAAAAATGAAAGTTGTAGGCAGCAATTACATTATTTAACCACAACCAGCCATTAAAAATATGCCACTGAATAATTCATTAAAATGACACATCTAGCAATGAAACGGGACATTTTGTTAGTGAATAACTGAATCATTTATTGAAAATGAGACTCAAAATAAATTTGGGTAGTACAAATTATAATGCTAGATTTATACATTTAGTCTTTTCAGCAACAGTAGTACACCCCACGTAGTAAAGCCCACGAGTCAACTTTATCAAATGAAATGAGTGTAGTTAACTCAAAATTTACTGAAGGTTTTAAAAGAGTTTTTTAACTCCGTGTTGAAGGTAATGAGTTAATTAATAAATACCTCATTACTTCAACTTCAGTTCTCTTCATTTATCGGGTTTTACTGTGCTCAAATTGCTTTGTTTACTAAAATGGATTAAGTTCACATTACTCATTAGGATTAGTTTTTGAACATAAATGGTTTTTTGCAATTGTTTCCTCAAATGGTCTGAGTTACCTTAAATTTTTTGGTTTTACAGTGTAAAGCCTCCTTTCCACTGCACACGACAAACGTTAAGCGACAGACTGGAAGTCATTCATTTCCAATGGAGAGCAGTCTGGGAGCTGCGTGGAGTTCCGATCATCTCCGTATGTGAAAAATTCGGATCCGAATTGAGCTGTAGATCCGTTAAAATGTTTGAGCTCCTGCGACTAGACCGTACGTTACCGGCTGTGATGTATTCCAGTGTTGTACAAGCAGGTCCGTGCGCGCGGGATGAGAAATAGGAGTTTATTTGGTTATTTTTTTAATTATAAAAAAGTCTATATTAACAAAAAAATAAAATGTTTATAAATGCAAGTAAGAAAGTAATAAAAATATATATTTTTAATGTTGTCTCCAAATTCCCTCCAATACTTGTAGCGGTCTATGAGTTTCTAGTATTCATTCCTTCATTAAATCATGTAAACGCACAGAGAATAAAGGCTCTTTCTTTTGCACTCCTTTATTTCGGACACTGCGAGAACAGCTTCTCTCCCATGGTGCACGAAAACACTGAAAATACTGTGCGACTGCCACAAGGGGCCATATTCCAACAGTCGAGTCCAAAAGTCGTGTGCAGTGGAAAGGCGGCTTTACAGTAAATTTTTCAAAGTAATGAATATTTTACAAAAAATTTTTTTCAGCTGATTTTTTTTCCATTTTATTTGTAATCACAAACAGAACTTAGAAAAGATCTGATTCGTGACATAAAAAAAAAAAAAATTATGTGATCCGAACTGTGAGATTTGTGATCTGTTACACCACTAACATTTAGCATATATTTATACCATTTTAAATAGGTTTATAGTTTTTGGAATAAATTTAAATATAAAACAAAACACAGAAAATAAAGTTCAGTTCTGAGAAACTGATCATTTTTCTCATGTGTATCCCTCATTTTAAAATTTATCACATTAAAAATGTCTAAGAGATATTGCTACTTCCAAATAACACACAAAGTCATACAGTAAGGGAGTGACATACAACCCTTCACCTACTGACACATCTAGTACTCCTCCACCCCTGACTGCTGATCCTCTTCTGTTTTGTTCTGCTTTTCTCTGCATTATATTCCACTTCTCTTTATGCATTGTTTGTTTTGACTACATTTACTGTTTTATATTTACAGTAATTACAATGAATTTAAAGTGACCTTAAGTTTGGAAGAACGCTATATAAATAAAAATGCATTATCATTAGGTTTTCTTTCATCAATGTAACCCTTTACTTAGCATTGTTTTATCGGCATAGATTATTGCTTACCTCAATAGGCAGAATAACATACTTACAGGGAGTATTTATGTGTGCACACAATGAGAGCACAAATTTTCACTGCATGAAAAAAAAAAAAATCCCCTTACAAGCAACAGCAAAATGTGACCTAGTTTGGTTGAGCCTGCAGGCAAAATTTCAGAAACCTGCATGACACATGGATATTTGCATGCACCAAGCTGACCAGTGAATGAGAGTTCAAAACCCCTCGGGCGCTCATGCTTCCTTCTGACCTTAACCAATTCAGGACTTAAAAATATTTCTTAACCTTGTCTAAAATTTATTTGCTGCCATTTGGTTTTCCTTCGGGTACCGTACAGCTTATATGCATTTTAATTGCTTGGCTCAATGCTTGTCACCAAGGAAGTAATATTCAAAGCAAAATGAAGTGTGCAGGCTACAGCAATGTCAATCACCTGAAGCCAAGAATGAACAGTTGTCAAGTTACTGGTGTTAAATGACTTGTGTCCACATTCTCAGCACTTCTGACATCCTTTTGTTACACTTAAACCAGCAACGTAATGATTTTCTCATGTGGCCGTGGCTTACAAAACAAAACAGTTATCGGATTGTGCTCTTCTCTTTCAAGTTCAAAGGTTTACACCATGCAAGTAATAGCTCATATAAGTATAATTCCTCTCTCTGTCCCTTGAGGTGAAAAATAATTGATAATGCAATTAAGCCTGCTATTGTGGCGTGAATGGACGGACGCCTCTGGGGGGTTATCTGTTATTACGTTAAAATTATCTTGTGATGGAGAAGTGGAAATATTTCCTTTCTCTTAGGGATTTCCAATCATAACACATTAGAAGTAATCTCATACAATGACTTAATAGGGACTTATACAACTTTGAATTTACCAATAAATCAAAGAAGTTTTTTGTTAAATGGGAGAAGTTTGATGTTAAGTCATAATTATTTTACAATATATACTGTAGATATATATTTGTAATTGTGACACTTTTATTCTCCACAGTATTTGGGAAAAAACAGCATTCTACACTTACTAAAGGAATGTAACTGTAATAATAATAATAATAATAATAATAATAATAATAATAATATTAGGGCTGCACGGTGGCGCAGTATTGCTGTTGCCTCAAAGCAAGAAGGTTGCTGGTTCAAGCCTTGGCTGGGTCAGTTGTCATTTCTGTGTGGAGTTTGCATGTTCTCTCCATGTTCGCGTTGGTTTTCTTCGGGTGCTCCGGTTTACCCCACTAGTCCAAATACGTGTCCTACAGGTGAATTGGGTAAGCTAAATTGTTCGTAGTGTATGTGTGTAAATGAGTGTGTATGCTTGCTTCCCTGTGATGGGTTGCAGCTGGAAGAGCACCCGCTATACCCGGATAACCCGGATAAGTTGGTGGTTCATTCCGCTTTGGCGACCCCAGATTAATAAAGGGACTAAGCCGAAAAGAAAATAATAATAATAATAATTCCTAACATTTATATAGCACTTTTCTGGACTCTCAAAGTGCTTAACACATTTTTGCGGGGGAATCTCCTCATCCACCACCAGTGTGCAGCATCCACTTGGATGCCATGATGGCAGCCATATTGCACAACACACACCAGCTGATTGGTGGAGAGGAGACAGAGTGATGAAGCCAACAGACTGGGATTTTTAACAATCATAGAAAGTCAGGACCTTGGTTTAACAGCACATTTGAAAGACAGCACTCACTGAACAGTATAGAGCCCCCTTCATTATACTGGTTAGGACCCACACAGACTGCAGGTTGAGTGCCCCCTGCTGGCCTCAACAACACCAATTCTGGTAGCAACCTAGCTTTCCCATCCAGATAATGACCGGGCGCAACCCTGCTTAGCTTCAGTGGGGAACCATGTGAGAGTTGCAGAGAGCTAGCTGCTGGTTGTAAGGTAAATGTAATCCATTACAGATTAGGCATTAGCTGGTATGTGATTCTGGCGGCATGATACCTTGGATAAAAAAACATCATTGCTTCACAATATTGTGATCAGTGCTCTAAAATATCTGCTTTATAAATGTCTGGGTAAAAAAACTAACTTTTTTCCCTTTTGAACACAATTTATTTTATTTTGAGAAACATTTGAAATATTTTGGAACAGTAAACATGTCAGGCTAAATAATTCAATTGAACAGTTGACTTCTGCTGTCTTCATTAGTTTCAAAAACACAGATTTCTATACATGTTAAAATGGCATCTTTGGATATATTTTCTGCTGGAGATACTGTTCTACTAAAAAAAAAAATAATAATAATAATACTAATAATAATTACAATTGTACATCCACCAAAATTTTCTTTTATATACCGTTCCTATGGTGTTTCTAAAACCTTAACTTTTCCAAACCACAGTATACCTTGCAAACGGTAATCGTCTCTTTATAAATTTATATACATCACTATATAAACTCAGACAGCAATCAGTATTAAGTGTTTCTATGTGGCTTTAAACAGTAATGTACAACAAGGTGGCTATAGTGGAAAAAAGGCAAGTACTTGAGAATTCTGTACTTTTTGCCACAAGTTTCAGTCCACTTTTCAAAGAAACACTAGAGTTAGTTTGGAAGTGGGTCAAAACTCAAGCTTTCAGAGGTTTTGGTCTGCTTTTTTGGTGTGCATCAAGGCTCAAATTTCAGCATTCTAACATATTTTTATGAAACACACTTACAAACCAATTTTTAACTGTTTGTCTTTAACGACCCAAAACACTGAACACACACTTGATCTCATATAAGCCACCATCTGTATTTGTAAATAAAATCTAAGGCTACACATTTGAAATTGTGTAGTGTATTGCACTACAAATCTATTTCACTGTGATAGAGAAGTCAAAGTGTTCTATAGTTTTCCAGTTACAGTGAAAACCACTCCAGCTCAATTTCACATTGCATAATTTCCTTCAGCAATTCTGGTACAGCACACTAGGGAGAAAATGTGCCAATCTATTAAACATCCTGTGGGCAAAATTTACTAAATCATATGAAATACTTGAGAAGGTGTAACCTTGAGAAAATGTCCTCCGAGTTTTCACTTTTGTACATCAATCTCTCATTTTATGCTGAGCAAGCTGTCTTTCATCTGCCACATTTTGCTACCCAGATTGGAAATATTAGCTTTTTTTTTTTACTTTTGCCTTTAAAAAAAAAGGGGGGGGGGGGGGGGGGGGGGTCAAGAGCATGACTAAAGAAATGCAATGGGATTAGCAGACTAGATGCACCTCACGAGATATTACCAAATGTGAAACTATTTCTCAGCTATAAAGAAATATGGTGGAAGCTTTGCTGAGGTCACCTATTAGTCTGACGTCTTAAAAACGAAGACAATGAAACAACCAAATAACAAAATGTCAGCTGCATGCTAGAGCAGAGCATCAACCTGATGGATGCAGCTGAATCAGGGGATTTGTCAGAAAGGGGGTAAAGAAAAAGGGGGAAATGAAAAACGTCACTTAAAAACTGAAGCTCTGTGCCATTCTCAAGGGCAATGCGCTGACTATGGTGGGGAGGGGCGCTATTCAAGCATGTCCTTGGCCTTTACTTTTTGATGCCTTTTTTTCCCCCATGCAACATAGGATGTTTGTTACAGCTCAGCACCTCCAGCGTTAACCTGTGTAAACAATGCAGAAATGTGAAACATCCCAAGGTAGCACATAATTTATGCGGCAAAGTGCCACGATCTTCATTAGTGTTTAATTTTGTAATGAACCCACTGGACTTCAAGTGAGCAAGGTGTGTTTGTGACACAATCCAGATAAGCATTTAACTTTGTACAGAAATGTTGTCAGAACGGTTGTCAAATTAACAGAACCTTCACACTGATTAAAGTACAATGCTGATCATCAACACAAACCTGTGTTAATAAGAAACCAAATGTATAGGGAAAAGGTCTCTCGAATACTGAGTGGATCAAGCAGCGTCTGATAGCAAAGCCCCTGAGATGAGATAATGTAAGATAATATCTGAGGAATTTACTAATCGGATCCCAAGGACACAGTAAAGTCAAAAACACCCTCTGATGTCAATATTTCTGTTTATGTCAAATAACACAAACAGACCGTGAGACAAAGATTGAGGGATTTTATAGGGATAACCTAAATATTTTGGAATGTTTGACATGCACAGGCATTATCAGGGCAAGTATGTTTTTAAACATAGGCATATTTAGACTAGTTGTCATTGTCTGTGCCTTAACTTTCAGATGGCTGCAGCTTAACGTTTCTGGGTATGATGGGTGCTTTTAAAGTCCAGTACACCTGTGCCACTCAGAAATGCTGCCTAGGTAGGAAGCTTGCTAGTTGACATGCGGCCATTGTGGCGTGCCTCTAAACAATCAAAACAAGACTTGAACCGGAAAAGAGACATAAAGCTCTTTCCGCAAAGTAAAAGGGCACGTTATACTGTGCTACACTGATGGATAACACAGCAAACACAAAACTGGGGAGAATAAGTTAAACTTGCTCTGAACATAAACACGACGCGCTCTAATTAAGTTCAACGTTAAATTTCTAAATTGCACGCTGTATAAGAAAACGTAATGCAGCAAATATGCAACAAAACAACGGAAAATTGGCGCGTTGTAAACTGTTTAACGTGCGAGTACAGTCGAGAAAACCCCAGAGCAAACTTGATGCGAATGCACAGACATAAAACTCCAAGTAATTTAGGTGTTGTGTCTTTGAAAGGAGAAAGCGGAAAAAAACTCACCTTTTATGTCGATAATCTTCTTTCATCTATGACAATGGTGAACATCACATGCAAAGCAGCCTCATCTGTCATACTTCACTCTGCCTTCTTCAAAGGCTGCTGTACTGTAAACGCTCTGTTACTCCCACAGGGCAGCCAGTAGCGGGAGACGCTTGCGAATGGAACAGCCAATAAGGAACCCCGCTAATCAGCTTGCCACGCCCTTGAACCAGCGCTGGTCGAGTCAAAACAGGTCTGCTCGTTAAAGTGGTTTAAGACGGATTATATTGGTTACAAAACAAACACTTTCATGCCTTTCATTTTTCACTGAACAAAACATCTTAAATCACGTAATCCAAAATTAAATTTAGCAGAAAATATTAACCATATAAATTAGTTTTTATAGCTAGAAAGACTTTATAGGATTTAAAGTTGTGTTTTATGAAGTAGAACGTAGTATCACATGTTGAACAACATCCTGGTGTTAAATAAGTCAACTTGGTTTATGTATTGATGCAATATAAGATATGCCTATTCCATTCCTTTAGGTAAAATTAGATCTATATTTAGAGTAAGCCTTCACACAGACCATTTTAATGTCAAAGTAGTCAAGTGATAAGACCTATCATAATGGTAAAAATAAAATCAGCTATAGTAATAGTAGCCCACTTTTGTTTAACACATAAATTGTCTGTTACAGATTTTTGTCTGTTACTGTCTTTGCAATATTTTACTTATTTTAACCCTTACTAGTAAAGAGTTCAACAGGTTTCTTAGTTTTCATGATTACATTTGAGCCTGGAATTAACAAAGCACTATACAGTCTTCTAGCTGAGATGCTGGAATTATGTCAAGTCCACACTAACGATCTAGGGCTCAAATTAAGAGCAGATGTGATGCATAACTGTTGCAAACAATTATAGACACACCTTAATGTGGAGCTTTTTCCACTATAAAAAGAACAGTAGTGAAAACAAACTGGGACACATGTCAAGTGCAATGCGGAAACTTTAATGACACAACACTGTATAGCCAAATTTATTTTTCTGCATGTTAACATTACACTGATGTATAAAACAGCACAGTAATAAAAACAAAGACACATCTGAACTAAGAGGCCGAATAGCCAGATTGTCCACTTAATTTCCCCATCTTTCCCTGCATCACCCCTTGAACCAGCTGCATCTCCAATGACCAACATTCGAAATTGGTCTCAATGAGCCAGTCCTTGATTATGCAAAGAGCCCCTTTTTCAGAAATGATCTACACCTCCCAGATCAAGACACATTAGAAAGGCCTTGTAGGCATAGGTCAAGGTCTGGTACAGTGAGACCAGTTTCAGCATAATATTAAGATGAATGCACAGCACCCAAAAAAAGTTAACTTGAGCACTGGAAATGCAGCAAGGTGTACATCACTGTCATACCTTTCATTTACATACAGTCAAGAACAGTGTCCATGTGTACATTTATAGTGAAGTGCATTTTACACAAGTTTAGGGTAATACATTAAGTATTACAGCAGTGCATAATGGTTTAGTATCTTGAGCCTCTTTTCTTCATAGAACCTGAAGGAACAATTTGCACAAATAAGAACAAAGAAGAAAAAAAAAAAGAAAAAAAAAAAAAAAGTTTAACATTTTAAACTGCTCAACATACCTCTGCCCCTCTGGCAGTAGGTAAATTCGGTCTCATCATAGTCATTGTATTCACTTCTTGGCCTTTGCTGGTGGATTGATTTACAAGTCGACCTTCTCAATGGAGTTCTCCCTTTGGGGAGAAAAAAAAAAAAAAATAAAACAAAAGCATACTTCACACAGAGACACACACATATCCTACCTTGATCCTGAGGTCCAGTAACTTGCCTCCAAGACCTCGGTTTGGCACCACAGCTCGCCCAATTCTCTTGGTCAGACACAACCCCCTCTCTCCATTGTTGCTCTAAAAATAATTTTGCATGAGCTGACCACCTCATGACAGCATTAAAATGCAAAAATACAAAAACCTTACCAATACAAGGCCTGCACAAGGCACCCTTTTGAATTCTCTTATCTGCTTTAGCCAGAGCACCATACTCCTCACAGCACTCTCCTTTGGGATGCACTCGAGCCTGCTCACGTAGATCACAGCTCTCCTGGCCTTCACAAAGCAGCTTCCTGTGTCTGTGTTTGGCACAATGATGCCCACAAGAGGGCAGCGCATGCCTACTGCAACACTTCCTTTTGGACACTCTTGGAGACTCGCAGTTGCTCCGAACCTCTGCTTCGAGGTCATAATCACAGTCTTGATCTGACATCTCATCCCTTTCAGGATGGCTGTGTTCGGCCATTTTACACATTCCTACCTCATCCTGCAAGGTCGAACCACAGCATGCACATGTTTTCTGGCAAACAGAGCAAGTTTTATCTACACTTGGGAGCTCTTTTCGGGAGCGAACTGGCATGTCACTGGCTTCTGCCAGCCTACCACCACCAACATAAACATGCCCTGGAACAACTTCGAGATCCTCTACATCAGTGGAGAACATTTCATCTCTGGAGGAGAGCTCATCTATGGATGGACTTAAGACACTCTGGCGCTCTTGGGTCACTTGTGGGTAGTAGCTGTAGGAATAAGCACTGCCAATTGAGGACAAATAGTTTTGTGGGGGCAACAGAGTGGATGGAGAATCAAAGTAGACAAGTGGGTCAATCTCTCGTTCAAGACTGAGGCCAGTTGTTGTCTTATTGCAGGGCAGGCGAAGGATTTGATATGGCAGGTCAAAGTCTTCAGAAAGACTTATAAGAGGCTCTATAACTGCAGCAGCATCCGCAGATGGGATATCCTGCTTCTGCTCATCACCTAGTTTCTCCAAATCGTGGCATTCTGTTGGATCTGCAATGCTTTGAACACCACTACAGAACACATTGCTAGTTGTACTCGCAGACATTTCATTTTGGCTGCATATTTCATCAGCAACAGTCTGTGGTTCATCTTCCTCATTGACATCTTTCTCCTCTTCCTCCTCCTCCTCATGGACAGAGGAACTGTCAAGGGGCAGCACATCTGAGAACACACATTCATCCAATCTACCCTGGCTAGACTCTGCATCATATGCTGAGTCACTGTAGGTTGTGGGCCTTGTGACCGGATCCTCCTTGCATTCTTTAGTGGCAACCTCCAAATTAGAGTCTTCGTTTAAACGGGTCAATTTCTCTCCCTGCACCACATCAGGGGTAGAAGAGACTACATTGTTGGGACCCTTGTCACTGCCTAGTTCACAGGCCTTCAGACTCTCAATTTTGTCTATCAGTTTGTTGACTGAATCACTAGGATCTGTTTGGACCTCAGAACAGGCAGTTTCCCGATGCATCCCAGCATTTTGAAAGTGGTGACGAACACGCAGATCATAGGATGCAACTGAGGGGTAGTGGGGGTTAATTCTTCTGTAATCAATTGGCTGCATGGGTGCATGTGGAATCACATAGCCAGGATACTGCATAAACTGATAAGGGGCCATATAGGGACGGCCAAAGTGCAAAGCTAGAACAAAAAGGTAAGAAAATTAAATAGTGTAAATCTACGACACGTAGCATTACCGCAAACAGATAACTTACCCGGCCCGGGAAAACCGTAATGGCCATATGGATTCATGGGCCACTGATACATGAAATAAGGCTGAGATGGTGGCTGAACATAGAAAAATGGTCTTGTGTGGTTTACTGGGTGGTGAGGTTGCCCAACTCCCATTGGTTGTGAATTGTTATTTATTCCTAAAAACAAATTCCACAATTTCAAATTAACTTATTTGCATTTTCACTGTTATCTATTGCTAATATTATTTTTGTGTTTTAGGTTAATTGCAGATAGTGCCAAAGTAATTGGTTAAAAAGTTTACATCAATAGATGTAAACATAAGTGTTATTTCTATAGTACATCAAGCAAGGGTAGATGAGGAACACAGAATTGGCACTGGAGTCAAATGTATGGATACCCTACTTCAGTAGTAGGGTGAATTTACGTAATCTGGGACACTTTTTAATTTTGACTTCAGCGGTCTATTTCAACATCTAACAAAGTACATGTGTCAAAAAAATAAAATAAACAAAAAGCTGTTTGATAATTTGGCACGTGCATTTTGGGCTGAAAAGTATGCCACATTTATGCATGCCAAACACAATTTTACCAATTAAAAAAAAAAAAAAAAAAAAAAAAAAAAAAGGAGTGAGTGTGAGAGAGAGAGACACGTGTATGTGTGGGTTTGAGTATTTGTGAAGGTATTGAAGGGAGTGTGTGGTGGAAGTGCAAGTAAGTGTGTATGTGTGTGTAGAACTTTGTACATTTCATCTCTGTAGTCATTAAAATGATAAAGTCTATAAATGCATATTTTTCCCATTTGAAGACTGTCCCAGGTTACCCAAACCATGCTGTCCCAATTTGATAATGTGGGACAATTTATGACAGGTTTAAGTCCTTAACATTAATCTAGTCAGAATGCCAAGTCCTTGTCATCCAATTTTGATGGGAGCTTCCTGATTAACAAGGTTAAGTTTAGGTGTCCCAGATTACCCAAATTCACCATATAAAGTCCTCAAATTCAAACTGCAATTTGTGAACATTTAACAGACCAACCAAAATCAAATTAAACTTGTTCAAAGTCGCATCAAACACTTCTCTCCTGCCTTTGAGCGGATTTATCCTTTTAAAAACTACATACAAACACAAAGCTACATTTTTAAGGTGAATAGTTAATCTGAACCGTACACACAGAATCCCTAAAAACAAGCAAAAATGTATTCAACTGCTTTAGCAGAATAAAAGTTTCTGAAGATTACCTTCCATTTCCTACGAGGAGACGAAGAAAATCAGCACAGGATACAAAACACCGCAATACTAGATAAAGTACAAAACTTAGATTAGACCAAACAATGTCAGTACACGGTGTTGTGACTGCAATACTTCATTAATTCAGATGTAGAGTGTTTTGACGACAGCAGAAGTGACTAACCTTAGATGTGAAAGTGACAAAGTGGACTTAAATGTGTAATATAGAGCGAGAGCGACTAACTCTGTTAGCTACAGCTTTGCACTTTAGATTTATAGGTTTCGTCTGTTTCCAGAGATCCACATTAATGCAATCAAATGGCGGGCAACAGGTGTACCCAATTTATTCTACCCAACAGGCCTATCGCGTCGGATTATTATTATTATTATTATTATTATAGCAGTTTTAAGTTTGCATTTCACTTTTAAAATTATATTACAGTATTTGTAAAATATTCCCCAAATGTTTACTCATCAATCAAACTGCGCAGCATCTTTCTGTTTATAACACTTGTTTACATTCCTGTAACATTTCCTGTCATTCATTCTTTCAGTTGTTGCCATATTTACTCGTTTATCCATTTACAAGAACTGTTTTGTTGATGAACTGCAGTGTCCTCACAGCGCCTCTGTGCGGTGGTCACGTGTGTTTCAGGTTTACGTATGAGTGAATGAGAGAGCTGCACTGTCAGTACGCGGTGAGTATGTTAATATTTATCGACAGCTCCTGGAAAACGTCAAACAGATTACATAAATCACAGATTTAGCGATGACAAGTTTAGACATTTAACTGTAATGTCGCTGACGAGTTTTTGACGCTAACGTTATTTCCTAAGCGTTAGCCTGCTAGCTTCAATGGAAACGGTAACGTTAGAGGGTTTTTAGTATCCCTGTAACGCTAAATGGCAGACAAATAACAACAAAGACTGCAAAACACAAGTTTACCTAGCTATTTAACTAGAATTTTACTTTTAATTTTAAAGAACGAAGTAGCTAACAAGCTTCGTGTGAGTTGTTATGGTTTCACTTTCCATTCTCTGGATGGCTAGCATATTAGCTAACGTGTATTTATATATAAATACATTTATATAGGCCTTTTAAATGTAATGACAGTCGTTTAAATATATACAACGTTAACAGTAACAGCAACTAAACGAGAAAATTAGTCTTTTTGTTTGATAAGAACGTGAATAAATGTTCTGTTGACTTGTTTAAGCTTCAAACAAAAAATCAATAACCCACCTTGTGTAATACCACCACATATACTAAATAAAGTTAACAATGAGTCAAACTACAATGAAGTTCTTTTGTGCCCTAGTGCTTCGACATGAGAAACAATGATCTTAATAGATGTAGGCCCTTTGTGACTTTTGTCTTTCACTTTCAGCTATGGCCTCTCTCACTGATCAGCTGGAGGAGGTGAGGGTGAATGCGGAGGGCAGTTTATCTTCTCCAAGTTCTGCCCAGGAGATGAGGGCAGGGGTGGAAGCTATGGCCAACATCCCCCTTCCACCCTCCAGCAAGTATCGCTGTATAGCTGCCGAAGTCATGTTGACAGAGAACGGTAGTGGCAATAACAGGAAGGAGGTAAGAGCTGGCGTAATGATTCATTTTCTTCAGAAGTTCAAAGAGTGTGTGATTATAGGGTAGGACTAGGAAGGAAACTTAACGTTATATAGGAACTATATAGTTGCACTAAAGGAAGTATCCCTGAAGATTGAGTGTGACCAATGCAGGGATAGCATTTTTTTTTCCTTTAGCTTAGTCCTTTTATTAATCAGGGGTTGCCACAGCATAATAAACCACCAAGTTATCCAGCAGTTTAGCTTATTCAGTTCACCTATAATGCATGTCTTCAGACCTGAAGATTGAGTGTGACTAATGTGGGGTATAGTAATTAGAGGGATTTGTATTTAAAAGAAGATACAGATTTAAAAGATGAGTCCACCTAAAACGTCAGTTGGAATCATAAACTTTTGTTTGTCTGCATTTATCAAAATATGTTCTAATAATACGTTTCTTATAAGAAGTCATATACAGTAGGTTTGAAATGATGTGAGGCTGAGTAATGGCTACTTTCATTTTAGGTGGACTATCCATTTAAAAGATTGTAGTTTACTTTTTTGTTTTGCTTCAGTAGAATATGAAAGATTTGTTTACACTACAACATTGTTGTGTTAGTTAATGATAGTTAATGAAATTAAAGCTGTTCGGTGTTAGTTTATGTTAACTCAAGTTGCATTTACTTATGTTAACAACAATTGATTTAGATCTTAATCATGTATTAGTAAATGCTGAATGATGATTAATAAATGATGCACAAGTATTGTTCATAATTTGTTTATTTTAGTAAATACATTAATCAATAGAGCAGGGTGTTTAATCGAAAAGTAATCAAAATTGAAATTTAGAACCTATAATCATTCAAAATTTTCCAGGTTAATTTTTAAAATTGGGAGTCACGGTGGAGCAGTGGGTAGCATAATCACCTCACAGGAAGAAGGTTGCTGGTTCGAGCCTCGGCTGGGTCAGTTGGCATTTCTGTGTGGAGTCTGCATTGTTCTTCCCATGTTTGCATGGGTTTCCTCCGGGTGCTTCGATTTCCCCATAAGTCCAAAGACATGCGGTACAGATGAGTTGAGTAAGCTAAATTGGGCGTAGTGTGTGAGTGTAAATGAGAGTGTATGGATGTTTCCCAGTGATGGGTTGCAGCTGAAAGGGCATCCACTGCGTAAAACATATGCTGGATAAGTTGGTGGTTCATTCCGCTGTGGCGACCCCTGATTAATAAAGGGACTGAGCCAGAAAAAAATGAATGAATTCATTTTCTTAAATTACTTTCCCTACCGTGTGTGGAGTCACTGTTTTTGTTTGTTGGGATCCACACTCTTGGTCAAAAATATAAAAATATGCATTAATACCGCAAGTTTATTTAATGTGGGTTTAGTGATTATCCTGTCATCTTTCAATTGACTGTCAATCATTTATCATTTAAATTAGAGCAAGACCTGTCTAAAACATATGCTACCAAATTTTGTCATTTTACACTGCAAAAAAATGTGTTTTAGAGTATGTTGGAAGGCCCGAAAGCAGCATCAAGTCTATTAAATATTGGATGGGTCACAGTTGACAGTTGCGTTTCTCTTCATATGTAGTGGAATGTATGGAGTTAAATAGGTCATGTGAATAAATGGTGTCAACTTAACATATTATATAGCACTGGGTAATCTTTCACAGCTTCTTCAGAAGTTTCCACTAATTTGTATGCACACAAAATTAAGTCTCAGTTCATTTTTATCCACTGATGTTGTTTCTGGGTTGTAAGGTCCACACTGTTTTGTTGTGCATTAATTTGTCTTGTTTGTTTTAGTCCCTAGCCCTTCTGCAGAAACTTTCTACTGCTCTTAACATTTTGGAGAAGTATGGCTCCAATCTTACCAACCCCAGCAGACCTAAGTACTGGCGAACAGTAAAGTACAACAATCCTGTCTTCAGGACCACCGTAGACTCTATTCAGGTGTGGCGGATGAGATTTGTGATGCTTTTTTTTTTTTGCATATAAATCTGTGTTTACATTAAACTGTCTTTCTCTTTCAGGGTGGCAGAGCAGTACTTAACCTGTACGGCTACACCAATCAGCAGCAGGATGGCTTAAGCTTTCCTGATGATGTTGTTGAGCCAGATGTTGGCAAGGTGGCGTCAGTAACTCTTGAGGTCATGTGTCTTCGAATGGAGCTGGACATGCTAACCAAGGTCTGAAACTGTAAAGTACAAGCAATCAGTGGGTCTATTACAAATAAATCATGAACTCAAACCGTCTGTTTCTCTCCTGTAGGGCACCCATCCTCATCCAGAGTTTTTTGAAAGACTTATTCCCTCTCTCACCGTGCAGGTAATGCTTTTTTTAATTGATTGATTTATTTTCTAAACCATTCTTCATTTAAAATTAACCTTAACATTACTTACAATATACTCCTCATTTGGCCACATAGTATACAAGTGAAATTTTATTATTAAGTACATCAATAAATAAGGTTTTAGCTAAAACTATGGTCTATAGCAGGAGAATTAGTTTGGCATGGGGGCCGGTTTATGAAAAGCATCCCAGTCGAAGGGCCGGAGAGATATAACTTGCTATATGAGTGATGACATAACAGCATATAAGAGCCAATATGCTGTAGATTTTTGCACCCACGTTGGCTTTTTCTACATTAAAATGTTGATGTATTTTGAAACTACATAATATCAGTGACATTGTACAATAGACTTTTTTTTTTTTTTTTTTTACAAACATTCAAATGTATTTCAGAGCACAACAAAAGCAGTGCATTGCTGAAGTAGGCTTCTTCTACATTCAGATACATTCATATGTTATGTTTTGAACTGCATAACAATTAGGAATACAACAGTAATATATTTTGGTTGTACAATTATATAGTCTGAAGAATAATCATGGTTTCACTGTTATCACGTCTATTGTAAATTCAAGCTTCATGTTAGGTAGGTAGCTATTTAGATTAACTGTTGTTGCCATCTGCATTCATTCATTTATTTTCTTGTCAGCTTAGTCCCTTTATTAATCCGGGGTCGCCACAGCGGAATGAACCGTCAACTTATCCAGCAGGTTTTACGCAGCGGATGCCCTTCCAGCTGCAACCCATCTCTGGGAAACATCCACACACACATTCACACACACACACTACTGACAATTTAGCCTACCCAATTCAACTGTACCGCATGTCTTTGGACTGTGAGGGAAACCGGAGCACCCGGAGCATACATAATTATTTTAATAATAATTCGTGAAACATATATTTTGTTTACATTGCACTGAAAGGCACGCACAACTCTCAAATGTGGGATGTTTTCTACTGCGTGCGCCCAGAAAGACACAAGCGTGTCGCTCCGCTGGCTCCCACATATTGTCATATATACTTTCATTAGAAAAAACAAACTTGCAAGCGTAAAAGACGTGATATGGGAACGGCCGCTGCTATAGTTAATCCTGTGTGCGTGCGTATTAGCCTCTGTGTACTTCAAACTTAAAACTGGCGCACAGGCAACTTGGCATTTTGCAGCGGTTTCGTTTCATTCCGTGCAACAGAAATGCGGCTTAGAGAAGACTTTACGATTAGTAAACTGTGGCCAATTAAAGCGCCGTTGATAGTAAAATTGGCTAATTGTTGCATCCCTATTAACGATATCAGTGCATTGTACAAATAGCCTTTTCTACAAACATGTTTTCGGCTGCCCGCAACACTCGCTTATGATGATTCAAGCTCTGTGCAGCCTTTACCTGCAGCTCGTGCTGTTATTGAAGACGCACGCAACTTCATAACTATAGCGGCCGTTTAACTAAATTTATTTTTGATGTCTTTGTCACACTGTTTGGACGGCCGGAACAAAGTGCATCGGGGGCCAGATTCGGCCCGCGGGCCGCCAATTGAATAGCCCTGGTCTATAGTCAATGGCTACCAGCATTCTGAGTGTCTAAAACCCCCTTTTTATGCAATGTCTCTACAGGAGGAAGAGGGACTCAGCACAGATGCAGTTGTCTTTGCTCCTAGTGAGAAAGTATGGGATAAACAAACTCCTTCACCTCTGTCTAGTCCTCCTCAGGCTAAATCCCCTTTCAGTCCAGCTCTCTCTCTCTCTTCTCTGGCCCCCTCTACACAAACAGGTAAAATCATCATGTTCAGCATACCACCTCTTATCTTTTAAGGACTATCTGAATTTGTCAGTGGCTACTATTAGGTTTTCCTTCTTCTTTCCAGTTCATTCCATTGATTTTCTGTTACTCTGCAGAGAACTGCACCATATGTGGCATCTTTCCAGTGTCCGCTCACTGTCCCACTTGTACCCAGAAGCTTTGCACAGAATGTGACAGACTCTATCACTCTCATTCTGGACGATCTACACACATAAGAATCCCTGTGACTTCCTCAAGACCCACAAAGCGACTCAGGTTAGCACTGCTGATCTAAAAGATTGAGAGAACATGTTTGGGTATATTTATAGGGATAGATGATATGAACTTAACAATATTTTCTGGTACTTCTTGCGATAACAGTTTTGTTATTACGATACTGTGTTTTTAAAAAGTATTAATTTTCATATATATTATTTAAATATTAACAGTGTTACATTTATTTATATATATATATATATATATATATATATATATATATATATATATATATATATATATATATATATTTTTTTTTTTTTTTTTTTTTTTTGTGATCATGATTTTCAAAAGTAATGCATCAATTTGTCCCATTTGTCTAGTCTCCACATACAGTTTGATAGAGCGATTTGATCCCGAAGTGCTTCTCGTGACGTCACACTTAACAAGAGGATTACTGCAGGGCAGAAAACCGATTAATGGATCAAACATGATACGATAAACAAATGCTTGCTCCAATATAGGATTACATGTGTTCTTCAAGCCATACTGGGTATTTTATAAGCATAAAGTATATTTCTAATGTAATTCTAATTGACACTCTCTTGATTGCAGTATTGAATACTCAAAAACAGCATGATTTGTTCTTCATTCTGTGATAATAAACCATGTCTGGTCACAAAATTGTTATTTTAAACACTCGACTGATGTTAGGAAGTTAATTTAGAGTGAAAGTATGGCAGTAATCTTCTTTTTGTAAACAGACTTAAACACACAACTAGCACATACATTCTACTGTAATATTTCACATTACATTGACGATTATAGGTTTTATCAGTATTAATATAATAAGTGAAATGTATTTATCGTGGGGAGAATCTACTGGTATATTACAAATGATAAGATATCACCCATCCCTAGTACATTACTTTGTTTAATAAGTTTGGACGTCTTTGTTTATATCTTTAGCTCATCACTGTCAACATGGCAGTGTTCATACTGCACTACAGTAAATTCGATGCTGCAGGTTTTGTGTGAAACCTGCGATCGCCCCCGTTTGTCCTCTGCTGCTCCATCACTACAGGAGGAGTCATCACAGCCCTCTACAATATCTGGTTTGTCTGTATTCCACCTTTTTCCTCACTAATACACCGTTACACCACTGCTTGACCTTTTGAAATGTCCAATTGGTAATTCAAAGCGACAAAACAAAGTCTAAATTTATTTGTCATTGTAATAATTCAGTTTTTTTTTGTTGCATCTTTTGTCAATTAGAGTGGCAGTGTAAAAGCTGCACAGTGGTGAATGCAGGTAGCAGTATTTTATGTGAGGTTTGCGAACGACCTCGTCTGGCCACCAGACCACCTGCTGTACCCCCACGAGCAACCCCTTCCTCCTCAGCACTAATGGACAGCCAGGTGACTCCTACTCCTAGATTTTAAATACGATGTGTATCATTTTTGTGCCAGTAAATCAAGTCACTTTTGATTTTTATATAGTGTTTTTGTAACAAGGACAATTTCAAAACCGAGTCACAGTAACAAACAAACAAAAAAAAAGTATTAATAGCTGTTTCCCTCTAATGTAAATAAATGTTTCATAAATTATTTGCAAATAAAACTGTATCAATCCTATGCATTCAAAAGAATGAAATTGACACTTTCTGGCAACCTGGGACAATAATGAATAGTAGAAATGAAATGTGCTGTAGGACTTTCTTCCTACTTTAAAAAATGACCGCCCTTTCAGAATGAACAAAAGACAAACATCATATTACATTGTCGTTTTAAATTGTGTTGAGCTTCAAAGGCAGATTCCTGATGTTTGGGAACAGTCTTCTTTGACAACTAAAGCAATTTTTGCACATTATTTTGATGACTGACTTTTTCATTTTAGAAAGATTGAACTAATATTTGAGATTGTGTTCAATGAGATCTGCTGGTTTGTCCAGTTATCCTCTTAAATAATCTGCTGAGACAAGTTGAGACAAATTCATGTCAGTGTTATTGGTTTAATGCGTTTCCCCATTTTTTTATTTTATGTCCTCTACGTCCTTCCTCCATGTATTGTGTAGAAATATGTTGAAACTGGCTTCCGTTTGAAGCAAATACTAATTCTGTTGTAAAGTAACTCCCAAAGATAATTGTCTCAGCTTGCCTGAACTCGGGTTTGCTGAGTAAGTTTTGGGATTAAAAACCAAATAATCCAACCTGGTTAAGATCTGATTAAGTGATTTCACAATGCTTAATATGAACTTTCTCTGTGTTTTTATTTATTTATTTATTTATTTTTTCGTGATTATGGATTTGGTAATTAACTCTTGTTTGTTAATTTGGACTGAATGCTGCTGAATGTGTAACATGCGCAATCAACCTAAACAGCCTATTACATGAAATGTAAGAGAGCCCATTTGGTTCATTTGTCACGAGAGAGAAATTATTAACCACAACAGAAAACTTTGAATAAAAATGCTTTGTGTAAAACGCTTTTGGAGCAAAAATGTTGCCCATGGACTGGGAATGGTTTTATTACATTAGATATCTTTTTCACTTTTCTCATAATTGATTGGTCCAATTTGTATTAGCCATGTAGTGTAAGTTAAGACAATGGAACCTGATTGAAACCTACACATCTTATTGTGCCCACCTAAAAATGAGCTTTAACTGAATGGAAACATCTTTGTAAAAACCCTTGCTTTGTGCAACAGGCCTACAGTATGGTCAGTTCTGCTCTAACAAGGGGCCTGTACCATGAAAGTGGATTGCCTAGCCATCTAGTTTCAGTTTAGTTTGCACCAATCTTGTTTTTAGGTAAAAGGCTGCTCAACTTTAATCACGCTTTGTTGCCATAGTATTATGGAGTAGCTGAGCTCCTTTTATGGAACCTAAATCCCAGAATTGGTGCAAACTAAACTGGATAGCCAGCTAATCTGGCTTTATGGTTTAAGCCCCACTCTACAGAAAGCAAAAGTGTCATTATCGGTCCCAATTCAGTTCATTCTTGATTTTGTTCTGTTCAGTGTCAATGTAAATCAGAAAAAAAGCAGTTCTACAGTGGTCACAGTGTCATCATCATCCAACAAAGTTCAGTTCAAGATTTGTTTTTCTCCAATAGTGTCAGTGCAACTGAATTGATTTAATTAACGATTAACATACTGTGAACTGTTGCAAAACCATCTGAACATTCCATTTAGTAAATGTTTTTAAAACATACAATGAATCAACATACTTGTGCTGCTAATCATATGCAGATTTACAATGCAAACATCTCATTTTGAATCAAGTCGACTTTTTCTCTTCTGTCATTCAGTGGATATGCCAGTTTTGTACATACGTCAACCGGACACCATCGACCGTATGTGACATGTGTTGTCTATCAAGACCAGAGCCTTCCATATCACCCTCTAAGCCCCTCCCACTATCACCAGTCAAGGACCTTCTACCTCCTGCAGCCACAACCAAAGCCACGCCCACTGAAGACCCTGATTTAAAGCGACAGAGACTGATGAAGGAGGACGGGCTCAAACTTATTCAGCTCATTCGAGTAAGTCTGATATATTTATTGTCATTGTGGCTTAGGCACCATCAGAACTTATTAAGCATCCTTATATTTTCTCAGGAGGGAGAGAAGAAAGGAGTGAGCCCAGAGGAGGTTTACACCAGCATGCGAGTGTCAGGAAACAGTAACGTAACGCCGTATGATTGGCTGAAGACAGAGCTTCCTCATGTGCTTGATGAGATCTGTGTGATGGCTGCATCGTGTCAGCAGGAGCCCAACGGTTCAGGGGGGAACAATGGCCACGATGGACTAAAGGGCAACCCTGTGCCCCTGTCCAGAGCGGAAGCTAAACGTGCCTGGCTGGCAGCAGGGGGCGATAATGAAAAGGCCGTCAGACAGGCTCTCAGAGACCGCAGAGTTAAAGTGAGTTCTACATTCAGTCCCAGCAAAGAAAGCTCCCGATGGACCATGTGGCTTTAATTTAGGAGGAATTTATTTGTTTCTTCTAGACTTTCCAAAATAGGCAGTTATATAACTTTAATAGGCTACTATTAAAGTCGGGGGGAAATGGACTGCAAAAAAGCTGCGTTTCAGCCAAGCTTAAAGTAATGATATTTTGTTAAGATTTCATACAATAGTTGTAATAATATTAAATCAATGTTATCGCTGTTCTAGTAAACATACGTTTGCTGTTCAAAGTTAAAATAGAATATACAGGTAAAAATTATCATTTTAATTTTATTGAATCAACTGAAACTGCGTGTTTATTTATGCATACACTTTCATTAAAATACTTTTACTATCATCAAAGGCACACTTAAAGTGAATCTTTAAAATGACTAATATTATATTATTATAATAATAATAATTGTTATTACTAAATTATAATATTTGACATTACTGTATATTATTATATTAATTGATGAATCTTTTTAAGATCTCAAAATGAATATCTGTAATTTATGCTTGACAAAATAACTTTTCATTTTTCATTCAGTACAGACCATGGGTGTCCAAACTCGGTCCTGGAGGGCCGGTGTTCTAGAGAATTTAGCTCTGACCCTAATCAAACACATCTGAATCAGCTAATCAAGCTCTTACTAGATACAGTACTAGAAACTTCCTTGCAGGTGTGTTGAAGCAAGTTGAAGATAAACTCTCCAGGACACCGGCCCTCCAGGACCGAGTTTGGGTTTTGAGGGATTTAAACAAAAACAATGGTCCCAACACAATTTCTGTTTTATATTTTTAATTTACATAGCTTTAGAGAATCAAAAAAGAGCCATATATTGATAAATAATGTTATGATAGCTCTATTAACATTAGGTTATTATTGAATTGCCTCTTGTTACAGTTATGAAAAAAATTTTCATGGGCCAATGACATCACATTGAAGTGGTCTACAGTGTTTTACTTTATTTTATTTTGAAAAAAATGTTGTTGAATTTTATCATTTCAATTTTAATATTTTAATATTTATTATTACATAACCTGATACTATTTATTGACTTATCAGTATCAGCCAATTCTTGATAGTATTGATGCATTCCTAGTAAATGTAAAAAAAATCATTCAGTTTAAAATTCAATTGTATAATTTTGCTTGATTTTGTTTGTTAGGTAAAAGAGCTTGGCTCTTTGGGCTTTAATGATGCAACCCGCTGTGAAGAAGCACTGAGGCAGAGTGGAGGCGATGTAAGGGGGGCTCTAGTCCTGCTGCAGCGCCCTTTGCTGGAGCCCTTCCATCAGCGCATGTGGAGCGAAGAACCAGAGCCCCCCATCGACATCAACCACCCAGATAAACAGGTGAACGCCCTTTAACCTTAATGCAGCTTTCTCTGAGACACTGCAGTACTTTCACATTGCAATTCAAAACAGTCTTTGCTTTTTAGTCTGTATCATATTTTGTGTGATATATTTTTTCCTGGCTGCCAAAGATATTGATGGTGGTCAGGGTTGAATTGAATGTAATGTTATTAAACATAACCTGGGTTTTCTTATCTTTTGTTTAGCATGTTTGCCGTAGGCTGCTAGCAGTGTTTGATCTGCCCAGCTGGGGGCGCTGTGAGCTGATTTTGTCTTTGCTACGGGACCCTGCAGCCAATTACACACTGGAAGACGTGGTTCAGGCTGTGCGTGAATCACCTGACCGAGACTTCATTCGGCGCGTGCTGAACAAAGAATGCCCCATCTGCCTGTCAGTTTTTCCCCACAGCAAGGTACTTTGCGTCAGCTGCTTCAAATCTTGCACTTTTTATGTGGGTCTCATTACCTTGTATGTCCTCGTACTGTTAAAAAAAAGATTTCCCCTAGAAATCATCATCAAGCTCTCATTTACTTGCCATCGAGTTGTCTACAGCTGTATGACGTACAGGTCACTAACATACAGTAGGTCACTTTTTTGCACTTGTATATCCTTCATACTGAAGGATTGTGGATCATTATTTCAACATGGTATTTGATATTTAAGACATACAGGTAGATGCTTGTATCTAATGAGCATTTTATGTCAAATCTTTTTTCTAAATTTAATTTGTTGTTAAAATGGTTGTGTTAGAC